TGATCCATGTTCTTGAGAAGTCTCCACCTTCCTCAATGTGGATCTCTCCATCACATCCTCCACTGAGTCCAGCTTGAGTCCTACCCCTGAGCCAGCCTTTTTCACCAGTTTGTTAAGACGTCTTGCATCTTTGTGTTTGATGTTCCCCCCCAGCAGACTGCAGCGTAGAACAGCACACTTGCCACCAGATGTGTAGTCTATAGTCTAAACCAGTCCAACTTATTATCCAGATGTACACCTAGGTATTTATATGATGTCACCACTTCGATGTCCACTCCACAGGTGTTCACTGGCTGAAGAGGGGGTCTGGATCTACAGAAGTCTATGACCATCTCCTTTGTCTTTGAGGTGTTGAGGAGGAGGCAGTTTTTGTGACTCCAGTCACTGAAGGCTTTTATTAGATCTCTGTATACAGCTCCTTGTCAATTTCTGATACATGCCACAATAGCGGTGTCATCTGAGTATTTCTGGATGTGGCAGGACTCAGTACTGTATTTGAAGTCTGATGTGTACAGTGTGAACAGGAATGGCGCCAGCACTGTCCCTTGTGGAGCCCCTGTACTACTCATTAATGTCCCAGAAACACAGTTCACCAGCCTGACAAACTGTGGCCTTCCTGTCAGGTAATCTGTGATCCAGGAAACACAGGAAGGATCCACTCCCATCTCTGTGAGCTTGTCTTTAAGTATGGCGGGTTGGATGGTGTTGAATGCACTTGAAAAGTCGAAGAACATGATCCTTACATAAACCCCAGGTTCCTCCAGATGAGACAGGGCACGGTGAAGCATGTAGAGGACAGCATCATCCACTCCAATGTGTTCTTTGTATGCAAACTGCAGGGAATCCAGTTTGTCTTTGACCTCAGACCTCAGAAGGCGTAGAATCAGCCGCTCCAGGGTTTTCATGATGTGTGAAGTGAGGGCCACTGGTCTGTAGTAATTTTTTTCAGCATGACATTTTGTTTTTGGTACTGGCATAATGCAGGAAGTTTCCACAGAGGAGGTACTTGCCCCAGCGGTAGACTCAGGTTGAAGATCTTGTGGAGAGGTTGACACAGTTCTGCAGCACAGTCTCTAAGCAGCCTTGGACACACACCATCTGGACTAGCTGCCTTCCCAGGACAAAGTCTTCCAATCTCCATCCTAACCCCTGTTTCGGTGACAGACAAGGACTGGTGCTCTAGGAGGGAGGCAGTTTAAGTGGTTGAGACATTTGAACAAGATGGAGGAGGAAGGGGAGAAGTTGTAGTGGAGATTTTTTGTGGAGAGGAAGGTGGAGTAGCAGTGGAAGTGGGAGTGACAGCAGTGTCCAATCTGTTGAAGAACAGGATGAGTTCATCAGCTCTTTTCACATCACCCACCACTGGCTGTCTTTTCTTTTGACTGCTGTGTCCAGAGATGGTACTGATTCCTCTCCACACTTAACGGATGTTACTGTGTTGTGGATTATTCTCTATCTTCTTTTTGTACTCCAGCTTTGCCATCTTCAGTCTCCTCGTCAACTCTTGTTGCACTTGTTTGAGCTGTTCTTTGTCACCATCTTTAAAAGCTTTCTTTCTGAAGTCTGTATATCAAATGCTTTATGACATAAAAGCTCTCTGACATCAACTACATGAGGTCCAACTTTTGTGCACACGACTTTAAAAGCATTGAAATGCTCTTCAAGGCATATTGTTTGTAAGGCAAAAGTTACTAAAAGCAACTTCCCATCTTTGACAACAACATGGTGGATTCTTTGAAAAACTGGCATCTCACAATGAACTCTCACACAAACAACTAAACCTGAACAATATACAATTCCATTGTGTTTGGCCCATCTAACGTTTAATACTTAGGTTTCAACTGGTACCTGAAGAGTCTCTGCCATCTCATAGCCCCAGTCCATCACTTGTAAAGACAACATTTTACCAGGGCCGATAGTCACTCTGCTGGGGTCAAATGTCTGCACCTTTTATGCCATTTGACTCTGGTGTTTCTTTGCCAATGTTTTAGTTATATTTTTGGAGCTATTAACTCGTTTAAAAAATATATATATATGTTTCGCTTCATAGCGCATACACCAGGTATGTAAAAGAGGCCCAATTTCCAAAATACATGTAGGGTAATGCACCATGAAATGATGCTTTGGTATCAGCCTCTTGTTTGGATACAAATGTTTGAATAACCTGCGGTGTTCTGCGATAAAGTGTTTCCAAAAATTAGCAATACCTTTTGATAACAGTGGGGAAAATACAATGTTTACCATTTGGAGTAAAAGCAAAATTAAATACCAGTGTTGGTCATTTGGACATACACTGGCTGATCACACAGGGGAACCTTAAAGGGGCCATGGCATGAAAAACTGACTTTGTTAATGGGGGGGGGGGGGGGACTGCTACAATCCCCCCCAAGTTCGAAAAAATTCCATCCAGTCATTTTTTAGTTATCTCCGTATTTAGGAACTGTGTGCTCAGAGCCGGCCGTTCTGAAAACTCCACTGACATGATGTCATGTCAGTGCTGGCGGGTTGATGGTACTGCCCATGGAGCCGCCCACTGCCCTGCCCAAAAAATGATCAAAACAGCGCCATTATTCCCGGCCGCTCGCTCGCATTGCTCCGGTTAGAACCATGGCAAAAGTACGATCTGAAAAAGAGGCAGCGTTTGCTCTGTTGTTGGCTGCACAAATGAGCACAAAACTCTTTTGAAAACTCCCTCGTCGGAGGATTTGAGGACTCAATGAGTGGATCTGTACATATGTGCGCACCATTTCACTTTGGACTGTTTTATCAACGAGGGACAGTTCAACGCTGGATTTGCTAGATGTCTGAAGATAAAGAATAGATCCGTACCAACTTTCCGTGATCCTACAACAAACGTGGCATCTGTTAGTATGAACGTTTTATTTTGACTTACTGTTTAGCCTAAATTCCCCCCGGTGCCTCAGCACGCTTTGATAAACACACCGGATCCGCGCCGGTTTACCGGATCCTCTCGTATTTTAGCCGCTCGCTTCTTCCCCGACAACTCCGCCAGCGGGGGACAAAATCCCCCTCCGGAGCAGCATGTAGCTTTAGCATTTACCCGTGCGGCGACGCGCCTCTTTTGGCTCAAATACGGGACGTCCTGGCTAATGCTGGACGGTCAGCCGTCCTATTAATTAGCAAAGGCTTCGGAGAAGTTCATGAGCATCAAAATCTTACATTGTAGCAGAGCTCTGGTTGTAATTTTTTCTACATTCATATCTTCCTCCTTAAGCGTGACCCTCCTGGTGGCTTTGAATAATACATAGGATGTGTTGACTAGGTCGCTTCAAGTCGCGTTTGGTCTGAACGTGGCTAAGAGTTTCTTCCGGAGCCTCTCCCTCTGGGTCAGACTCTGGCTCAAACTGGTAGGGTTGTATGAGCGATCTTCTTGCAGCCATGACCGAGCCAGTGTAAACATTAGCACATGGCTATTGGAGCACAGCCACAGCCCCTTCCAGAGAGATGGGTGTAAAGTGGACGTGGCTTAGGTGCAGCTCATTTCATTAAAGAGACATGGCCCAAAACAGAGGAATTTGACCGGAGCTGTTTTTAGCTGATAAAAAGAGCACTAAAATAATTGATCCAAATCGAATTTTGACCGAAGGACGTCACAGACATGCTTTTAACACACCAGGGGACCATTTTAAGTTGTGTGAAATTGGCATGCCATGGGACCTTTAATGCCATGCCTCTCCAGTGTTTTAATATCCTGCACAATTGGATCTAGTATTTTAGAAAAGCCATATGTTTTTGATATCTTGGGCATGAAATAAAGCAACCAAATGAATATTGATTAAACTTGAGTTGTATTTTGGAGGAAAATTCCACAAGGTGAAATAGATTGCTCCTACTTTATTTATTCCACGTTTGGACCCTGAAGGATTTGAGGTTTCAAAATCATAATAGAATAGCTGAATCTGAATGGCATATTGTGTTTTGAAAACAAAGGATGACTCTTGAAGAGTTCTCCATCACAAAAGTCCTTGAGACCAGCATCTTCTGGACTGGAATCAGCCTGCACCATCTCCTTTATATTAGGGTGACTGTAAATGAACTGCAGTGTTTTCAAAATTGGAATGTACATAAATTAGTTTGTAACCACCGCCTGATCATAGCCTCCACTAGCCTGATTGCGCAGAGTATCAAATCTTGTCCCAAGACCATATTCAACTGGTTCTACACTTCCCCACCTCTCTTTGAAATACTTTGCTCTCTTATTTTCAGAGTTCAACATACAAAAGGATTCTCCATTTTTTCAAAACACTCATCGATTTTACACTCAACTTCACTTTTGTTAGGCTCCACTAATGACAGACACTTCTTCACAGATTCTTTTGCTAGATCATAGACATCACCAACAATCTCCTCCATAGAAATCACTGAAGAGTTAATGGCCGTTTCATCTACATCTTCCTCTTTAAGTTCAGCTAGTGTTGTAGCACAGCTGTCTACAAGACTCTTGCTGACAAGGACAGAGTAAGAAGGGAGTATTGCTCAAGGCAAATCCTCTAAATAACTTAATGTTACGTCCTCACTTGTAGAGGGGCCCCCGCCAGGATCAGAACACTGATCATTATGTGCTGTGTTAAGGTGCTTTCTAAATCCAGAGAATGTTTCATAAACCTGCGAACAACCAGACTGACCACACTTAAGATGAAGAGTCTTTGCTGAGCAAAGTCCATGAACCAACTTAAAGTGCTTTATCAGGGTATAAACATCTGCCTGGTGACATTTGCATAGAAAACACAACATCTTTGTACCAACTCAGTGCAGCATCCGAGCCCTCACTTCAGCAACCCTGGGACTCATCTTAGTGGTAGAAACATCTATTTCATAGACTGGTTTGCAAGAAGTTGTACACATTTGCCAGGTTATGGTTGTACGAGGTACCAAAATCAAAATGAGCTTTAAAAAGCTCATCAAAACAGGCAATAGAATCCACTGACTTGCAGGTTATGGCATGTTTGTCAATGATGATTAAATACTTGCTTATCGTGCTTTTCTGGGTTCCCACAGCCAGAAGATAAGGTTGACAGCTTTCTGTGATGCTGTCTAGATGCCCTTGGATGCTGGTCCCTGTCTGTGACACAAAAACGTAATTTAGTTTTTTCACGATTCACAGTTCACTAACATCTTGAGAAAATATATTTAATCTTAAAATTATTTTAACATCTTCTTGAAAGGGGATGATGGTTTGAATAGCTGAAATGGGAATGTAACAATATTTCCTTTATAGATAATACCAATACAATTTGTCCAATAATATCTGGGCTTTGAGTATCAGTTGATGCCAGACCAATATCCCTATTGGTGATGGGCATTTCAAGCAAAATTACAATTAGAAAAATCACAATTACTCAACGCCAACAATTGTCAACTATTCAAACTGTATTTTTATTTTTAAACTTAAAAAAGAGGTTTTAATAAACTGCAGCAAATGCTTATCTGAAAAACAGTAGATTAAACTGGGATCTGGGAAAGAGATATTTTTTCAAATGTTGTGCGCACTGCTGAAGCAATGAAGCAAACAGACTGCACTCGACTTTGGAAACACTGTGTTTTACCAGAGTAGTTGTTGTAAGCTGATAAATCACGGAGCTTGACTCTCAGCACAATGCAGTACTTTAACATTTCAGTGAGCAAAGCACACATTTATTTATTTATTTTGTCTTAGACAAAATGATAGGCACCTTAACAGATAAATGTAAAACTTTAAAACTATATTTTAAGATCATTTAACAGCTGTTTTTAGTACTAATCAGTATAGATTATTAATTGTAATCACTGTTGTGTGGCCTAGCTCAGTTTAAACCCATCTTAAAACATGAACAGAAACTTAAAAATAAAAGCTACAGAATTTTTAAACCTAAACAGCTGTTTCCCCTTAAGTATTCCTGCTTTTTTTGCATGCTGCATCTTTGGATGCTTATTAAATTGTTGGTTCTAAAATTCATACATCTGTTATCTCCCTCTGTATTGTAGGCTCTCTGACTTTAGATATAAAGGACTATTGTCCTGCCAACAAGCAGGTTTTTTTTAAAAGATACCTACGTGCTACCTGTGGCAGCCAAATCTTCCAAATTGCATTCGACCGTAACCTCACCTTAATGAACTTCACAAGATGTTCACAGGCTTCTCTTGCAGACAGCTTTCCTGGTCTCTTGCGGCCATGAGGTGATGGTGGCAGAAGGTGGACAGGGACCAAAATAGCTGACATTTCCCTGTCCGATCCTGAAAAGTGAAAATTCAGAAATGTATATTCACTAATGAGTCACTACATTTCCCTTTAAAAAAAAAACCAAACTCTTCTTTTACTATAATACTTCCAGCATACCATTTTCTACTTCTTCTGGAGCTTCAGCATTTTGAACCACGTCTTAAAGTTCAGCTGTCTGTGTGAGGCCCCGGCTTAGTTGAAAGACTTTCCTTTTGTGGACTATGGCCCACTTCTCCAGGAACCTTGCAGAGATGGCATCATCAAACATCAGACTGAAATCCTGCTCAATCTGCAGACAAGATGGAATAAGTAAAGACAGAGCAGTAAGCATTACTAATACTGTTGTTATTGAGGATATTCACAGTTTCAAACTAAGGGAGTTGAGGATCCAAGTTGAGGATCCTGGTACGTCTAGGAATCTTGGAAACGCTGTGAATATGTCGGAAGACTTCACTGGGTCATGAACCATCTTGGCGAAAGGTGAAGGTTTGCTTCATCTTCTCCTTGACAACTGCTTCATCCGCCTCTAAAAGCCTCTGAACACAGGGAGTCTGTGCTTAGCCAGTTCTCCTCCAGAAAGGGTTCTCGATCACCTTCTGGACCACCTGTAACAGTGTAGACACTTTACTGACAAAATAAAGCACTGATCTGACCCATATTTAAGTGCTTTGAATATTTTCTTGCACCCCTACAAGCCCCTCATATAATCATTCTTCAATCATAAACCATGAACTACACTTTCAGTCAACGTACAATTAAAATGAGCATACCTGTCTGTGTGAGCAACTGTCGGCCAGTCCTCTTTTGTCCCTCTGATGCTTCCTTTTGGAGAGATTTCAGTCTCTGTGCCAGATACCCACTCCCATCTCCTGCATTGTAAAAATGCTCCTACAGTAAAAAGACATTCAGTTTGGTTGAGCAGGATAAATATATTTTTAAACTTTTCCTTTATAATATACATATCCACAGAAAGATCTGCTCAATAAAGGAGAAGAGTTTTACTAACATTTAGCTTTTTTATGAAAACGAAGGTGGGCAAAAAACAAACAAACAAACAAAAAAATTAAGTTGGACTGAACCACCCAATACAAGCAGAGTATTTTTACTTTTTACAGTTTAGGAGCCCCAGAGAACAGAGAGGTGAACGAGAAAATGATAAAACTTAGTTTTGATTAACTTACATAGCCAAACCTGCCCCTAGGATCAGCCAAGTATGGAAACAAGGCAGTGATGCCCCTTGCATATTCCTGTTTGTCCTCGAAGGACTCGTCCTACACATGCACACACAGATACATAGACATCCCTTAAGATCAAATTTTAGTATTACATGCATCTGAAACCTGCAAAAGGATGGATGTTTTACAACAGAGACAAAAAAAAGATTTTTACACATAGGTTTGCAAACATACCCATGTTCACTTGTCATATGTGCAACCAATATCTTGACCAGATCACGTCTTCTGGAATCAGTTAGGCTTTTTGCCCGGGCATATTCATTCAGGATCCTCTCTCCTCCAGGCTTCGTACTCATAATGTTTTCAATTTTCTGAGCAATAGTCAGATTTTTTTACTTTATCATTTAATCAAGAAACAATTAGAGTGATGATGCTCAGGTTAGACTTTCTCTAAAACTTTTTTGAAGTGCGTTATAGGAATGTATGCTAATTTCTGAAATGTACACTACACGCCAAAAGTTTGGAAGCAAGGACATTACAGGCCGAACAGTTGGTAGTAACTTCAAGTTTTTGTTCACAATGCTTTTTTTAAAATCCAGCATGAGTTTTATGTATTTTAGGATGTATTTACTCCATGATCAGACGTTGCTTTCATGGAAATGCACCATTTTACTTCATTTACCTTTAGATATACATTGATGTTAACAGACCATTGCTAAATATATGTCAGCAAAAGAAAATAAGGCCTTAGTTTTAGGGTTGAAAACATTTGCAAGAGTCACAACTTCAGTGCAAAAGCAAAAAAAAAAAAACAAATCACAGTTGGATTATTCACTTCAACTTTTTGGCTTTTGAGAGTCTGTCTACAAAAATCCTAATAAATATCAACTGCGTTTAAACTACCGCAAACATGGCTAGAAAAAAGCAGCTGAGTAAAGAAACAAAAGTAAATATTTGTACATTGAGGAAAGAAGGATACATAGAAAGAGAAATTGCAAAACGCCTTAAGGTGTTTAACAAAGGAGTCCACTACACTCTGAGGAGACTAGAGGAACCTGGAAGTTATGATGATAGAAAAAGACCTGAACAAAAGAGAGTTACTACAAAAGCAGAGGATAAACATAGCATTGTCACCAGTAAGAGAGATCGGCAAAAGACAGCACCAAAAATAAGGGAGGAAATCAACATGACAAGGTCGAAACCCATATCTCTGAGAACCGTGAAATGACATTTGAGAAAGGCTGGTCTGAAGGGTTGTGTATCTGCAAAAAACACTACTTCATCCACAGAACAATAAAAAGAGATATGAGTGGGCAAAAGCTCACAAAAATTGGACTTATGATGACTAGAAACAAGTTTGCACTGTTTCATTCAAAAGGCAGAGTCTACGTCCGCAGACAAACTGGTGAACGTCTGAAAGCACCATGTGTTACACCCACAATTCAGCATAGAGGTGGTAGTTCCATGGTATGGGGATGTTTTGCAGGTGATGCAGTAGGAGCTTTGTTTGAAGTAAAGGGCATCATCGAGAAGGAACATTACCACTCCATCCTCCAGCACCATGCTGTTCCATCTGGACTCAGACTTGTTTGTTTTGCAGCAAGACAATGACCCTAAGCACTCTGCCAAGCTCTGTCAGGGTTACCTAGACAAAAAAGAAGAGGAAGGTATTCTTCAAAAGGTGGTTTGGCCCCCTCAGTCTCCAGACCTTTCTCAATTGAGCTTGTGTGGGATGAATTGGATCGATTGGTCAGAAAAACGCGTCCCACAAATCAGCAGTCTTTTTTTAATGAACTTAAGAAAGCTTGGAATGCAATCCCTGGAACATACCTTAAAAAACTTGTGGAACGAATGCCTGGTATATGTCAAGCTGTTGTTAAAGCCGGAGGAGGTTACTTTAAGGAAAGCAAAGTCTAAGCAACAATAACTCAAATACCTAATAATTATAGTCAAAATGTCTTCTGATAAGTTACTATTTTAACTTCAACTTTATTTCATTTATATGGCACTTTTCATACAAAGTTGTAACACAAAGGGCCTTACAAAGCATAAAAAGAAAATGAAACATTAAAATCCCCAAGAAAACCCCAAACCTCCCACCCGCACAATTATACCCATACACACACCCGTGCACATAGACATACATTTCCACACACACAACTTCACAAACACACGCACCTACACAGTTAGCAGCTGATGGTGAGGAGACATGACTGGGCACTGAGATCTGAGGTGAGGAAGACGCTACCTTTGGGGGCCACGTCGACCGGGAGGCATCCCGGCCCATTGCTGCAGGGGGCGCTATCACAGGGACCACCAGCCCGGGCAGACAGGAGGCTCCACACCAAGGTGTAGAGCTCTCTGGTTCCAGCCGGGCCAGAGCTGTCCCCAGAACGGCGCCCCCACCAACAGACCAGAACCCGCTCCCGGTGAAGCAGCCCCAGGAGGAAACACTGGAAAAACTGAGGGACTAAAAGAATAAAATAAGACATAAAAGTATAGAAACTAAAACTGAAGGAATAAACTGTAATCGCTAAGACAGACCCAGTAAATAAAAAATGATTCTGTGCACTGTAAAACACGCCAGACTAAAAAAAATAATAATAATATTGATAGATTGAAGTATAAAATAGAACGCTAATAAAAAGTGTTAGATAGTGAAACAATAAAAGTGAGCATAAAAGGGATTAAAAGAGTTAAACTAGTCAGTTAAAAGCCTGATTAAAAAGATGAGTCTTTAGCCTCTTTTTGAAAATATCGACATTCTCTGCAGCCCTGAGGCTCTCTGGGAGGCTGTTCCACAATCGGGGGCCATAATAACTGAATGCCGCCGCCCCGTATGTCTTAGTTCTTACTTGTGGGATTTTTAAGAGACCAGCTCCAGAGGACCTCAGGGTCCGTGAGGGTTGATAAGGTAAAAGTATCTCGGATAAATAAAACGGCCCAAGACCATTAAGAAAAATTAAGAGGAGAACCTTAAAATGGATCCTGAAACGTACGGGGAGCCAATGCAGCGATTTTGAGACAGGAGTAATGTGCTCCCGCCCTCTGGTCCTCGTCAGCACACGTGCGGCTGAGTTTTGTAATAATTGTAGGTTTTGCATGTTCTTTTTGGGAAGACCAGAGAGCAGGGCATTACAATAATCCAAACGACACGAGATAAAAGCGTGCATCAGCACCTCCGTGCTGGCCTGAGAGAGAAACGGGCGGACTCTGGCTATATTCTTTAGATGGCAGAAACCTATCTTTGTTATGTTTTTGATATGTAGAATAAACGTGAGCTCGGAGTCAAAAATCACGCCCAGATTTTTTACAGATTTTGAAGGTTTAAAATCCTGTAACTTTGGTAAAAGTTTCTCTCTCTGGCCTTCAGGACCAATGACTAAAACCTCTGTTTTGTCCTGGTTGAGCTGCAGGAAATTTGCTGCCATCCATGATTTAATGTCTAAAATGCAGTTAAAAAGGGCATCAATTGGCCCTGTGTCATCTGGAGACACGGCGATGTACAGTTGCGTATCATCAGCATAGCTATGGAAGCTGATGCCGTGCCTCCTGATGACATCCCCAAGGAGTAACATGTAGAAGTTGAACAGAGTTGGACCTAGAATTGACCCTTGGGGAACCCCACACTCGATTTTATGGGACCTTGAGGAACATGTATCCATACTTATAAAGAAATTTCGATCAGTCAGGTAGGACGTGAACCACTTAAGAACAGTACCAGAGAGGCCAACCACATTCCGCAGTCTATTTAATAAAATGTGATGGTCTATTGTATCGAAGGCGGCTGTTAGATCCAGCAGAACCAACACTGTGAGTTTGTGGTTATCTAAGTCACATCTGATGTCATTTAAAATCTTCAGAAGTGCTGTCTCTGTGCTGTGGTTCCTCCTAAAGCCAGACTGATGAGTCTCTAAAATATGTTTTGAGTTTAAAAAATCATTTACTTGGTTAAAAACGAGTTTTTCCAGAACTTTACCTAAAAATGGTAGGTTGGATACAGGCCGATAGTTATTTAAAACATTGGGATCCAAATCACTCTTCCTCAGAAGGGGCTTCACCACCGCCTTTAAAACGGCGGTGGGGAAGACACCCGTCTGAAGAGAGCAGTTTACGAAATACAACAGCTGTTCCTCGAAGAATCCATAGAGTTTTTTAAAAAACGGTGTGGGAATTGGGTCTAAAAGGCAGGTTGTGGGCTTTACCTGGGAGAAAACTCGACCAAGTGTCCTCGCATCAACCAGGGCAAAACTTTCAAGTGCTTCCTCGGGTAAACTCTGTGATCCAGGTGTTAAAAGCTGTCGGGATAAAAGACTGGATCGAATGTCATCTATTTTTCGTCTGAAGTGGTCTGCAAAATCCTCACAAAGGACATTATCAGGTGTTATGGAGGATCTTTTAAAATTTTTGTTTGTTAAAAGATCTATTGTGGAGAACAGGAATTTGGGATTATTTTTATGGTTATGGATTAGATTTTGGAAGTGGGAACTTCTTGCTTGTTTGATTGCGTTATTGTAAATCTTAAGAAGTCGGTGTAATATTTCATAATCCACTGTCAGCTTTGATTTCCTCCATCTCCTTTCAGCACTCCTGCAGTCCCTTTTCAATTTTTTAATGTCTTCAGTTCTCCACAGGGATGTAGGTTTTGATTTGATTGTTTTTGTAAAAAGTGGAGCCACTGAGTCCAGTGCTGACTTCATTTTGTTGTTCAGGTTGTCAGTGACAAAATTGCAGGGTGCTGGTAAAATTTCATCTGGAGTTCTCTGTAAGATCTGGATAAAATTTGCAGCCACTTCAGAAGTTAAGTAACGTTTACTGTTCTCACCGGGGCCTCCCTCTGATTAAAACTGGTGATTGTAAAAAAGACACAAAAATGGTCAGACACAGCCAGGTCCACAACAGAGGGTGCTCCAATGGACAGACCATAAGATATGACTAAGTCCAAGGTGCGCCCCCTGCTGTGGGTCGGCTGTGTGACATATTGGTTAAAATCAAAGCAGTGTAAAATGTTTAAAAATTCTCTGGACATTGGGTCTGAGGAGATGTCCACATGTAGATTAAAATCACCAGTTATTAAAATCCTGTTAAAAGTGGCATAAATAATTGATAAAAGCTCTGAAAATTCCCGAATAAAAGAAGTGGAATACTTGGGAGGTCGGTAGACAGTTATACAGAGGATAGGTGGGCTGCTAAAAACGAAGGCATGGTACTCAAATGATGAGTAGCTGTTAAAAATGACTTCATTTGTATGCATGTTGCATTTTGTAATTGAGGCAGTACCACCCCCTCTTCTGCACCCCCTAGTTGAAAATAAAAAGTTAAAATTTGGTGGGGAAGCCTCGGTGAGAATAACAGGTGCATCAGTGCCAAGCCATGTCTCTGTAAGGAGAATGCTGTCCAGGTTATTGTCCATAATTATGTCATTGATAATAAAAGATTTGTTTAAAAGAGAGCACACGTTCAGCACAGCCATTTTAATATCTGTGCTGGACGTGCGCTCAGTGCATTTTTCTAAGGGAACATTAAAAACACATTTTGGTCTAAAAGCAGTCCTCCTCTTCCTAAGTAGTCTATGTGTGGTTATGGTTGTGATGGTGTAAATCTTGTCCTGTGCCACTGAGGGCACAGAGGGAGGGGCGTGTATAGTGTAGGTAGGGAGTGGTGAAGATGAGTGTAAATGAGGTGCAGAGGGCCTGTGTGCAGACAGTCAGGAGATGGTTGCGTAGGACCGGAGCGTCAGGTCAATATTTACTGATAAAAGCCTTGACCCCTCCTGGTTCAGGTGAAGGCCGTCTGATTTAAAGAGGTGGGGTCTGTTTGAAACAGCAATAAAATTGTCCAAATATGGGATACTTCTCCCCAGACAGAAGCCCTTACACAACAGTCATGTTTATTGTGTTGCAAATTATATATATGTAACTATTATCTTTTTTTGTACAACTCTGATCTTGCTTCCAAACTTTTGGCCTGTGGTGTATATACATTTTTCACAACTTTATTTTGAAAAATATTATGGATATCTTTTTATAAAAATGTCTTCAAAAGAAACGGCCCATCTAAAAGTTTAACAAGGATAGGCAAGTGCTGTACAGTAAAACATGTCAAAACGTCAATTCATCTGTAATTTATCACTCACAATCTTAACGTTTGAAATAGTGTGTTTAAACATTCTAAAAATATGCAAGAAAATCTACTGAGCTCACCTGAGCTAGAGAAGCATCCTCATTTGCACGTCTTTGAGTCGGACTGGGCTGCAATATGATGGTGCTATCAGAATCCCCCTCATTGTCTCCACTGAAACTTTCATAGGAGCAACTTGCAGAGGAGCTCATTGAATCTAGCAAACATGTTCAGATTTGACAGGTGTGATTAATACAAAACTTTACACAATGTAAATCCCATTTAGGTTTGGGATTGAGAGAGACAGGTTAGCGCAGAAAAAATGGCTTAAAATGAAATGTGACTGTTCACTTTGATTTACTGCTTCAAACTCCAACATGATATCAATTTTATGACAATGTCCAGCCCTAATTCAGAACATGTTAAGTCAGGCAGAAATGTATGAATGGATGTAAGACTCAACTCACCATCTGGGTTTGGTTTTTCAGGCATACATATCTCCAGAACTCCAAGGTCTTGACTCCTTAGAAGAAACTCAAACCCCTTCTCATCAATTTCAGTTTTGGAGTCATCATATACTTTGACGTCCAGGGTTGGAATGTCAAATTTCTTGGCAACTATGATGACAACATAAAATTGCACAACATTACTGATGGATTTGCTGTGAATCAAGAGTAAATCAAAGGGCACCTTATTTTGAATTGTTGCTGTAATCTCAAAACTGACTCAATTCACCCTTACAGGTTAATCCTACCTTCATTTGAATTATTTTATTTAATAATTGACAATATACAGTCAAAACAAATGCCACAATTAGATGCACTGTACCAGATAGCTTCAAACTAATTTGACTTCTGTACCCATCTCTAGCACATTAGTTGGGAATTTGTTTGGTTTATTCAATTAGTAGAGTGATATTTACCTGCTCTACTAATAAAGCACCCTGAGATTACTGTTGTGATTTAAAGCTGTATAAATAAAAACTGTTGCAACTGTTCTGTCAGTTTAAGTATTGTAGAACTACACCACAACTAGAATCTCCCTTTTTAATTATGTTTAAGTTAAATTAATTTAAGTTAAATTAATTTAAGCTTGAGTTATAAGTTGTATGTAGTTGGTGGGCTGTTGATGACAGATATTCATCTTTCTTTAAGAAAGATGACAGATATAAATAAAAACTGTTGCAACTGTTCTGTCAGTTTAAATATTATAGAACTACACCACAACTAGAATCTCCCTTTTTAATTATGTTTAAGTTAAATTAATTTAAGTTAAATTAATTTAAGCTTGAGTTATAAGTTGTATGTAGTTGGTGGGCTGTTGATGACAGATATTCATCTTTCTTTAAGAAAGATGACAGATATAAATAAAAACTGTTGCAACTGTTCTGTCAGTTTAAGTATTATAGAACTACACCACAACTAAAATCTCCCTTTTTAATTATGTTTAAGTTAAATTAATTTAAGTTAAATTAATTTAAGCTTGAGTTATAAGTTGTATGTAGTTGGTGGGCTGTTGATGACAGATATTCATCTTTCTTTAAGAAAGATGACAGATATTCATCTTTCTTTAAGAAAGATGAATATCTGTCATCAACAGCCCACCAACTACAGCCGACTGGACGGAAGTTAAAAGCAAACTTTATCTATAATGTCTTTGTGGAACATCAGTCATGCCATCTTGTTTACGAAAAGTTGTACTGCAACCATGTAAATTTGAAAAACCCTTAAAAAACTACAAACATATGAAGCTCATGATTTTAAAAAAAAGGATGCAGGAAAAAAACATCTTATTTCTGTGGTTAGTAAAATATTTTCCACTCACCACATTCCAAAAAGCACTTGAAAGTCAGTTGCCCCTCATAACAAATGTACTTTTGACGATCGCCGTACTTGACTCTTATCGCCCGCATCCTTGAAAAAAAGGAAAGAAAGTTAATGTAAATTATATAATCTCACATGTACACACCATCTGGTAGTTTTACCAGTGAAAAGTTGAAAGAATGTATTATCAGCTCATTAGATATACAATCCCTCAATAACAAAAAACTACTATCTCTGAATATGCAAATATTAAAACAGATAGGAGCATAGTGTTACGCCTCTAATGAGGATACTTTATACTGTTTAAATTTAACAGCATGATCACAACCGCAGTAAGTACAAGAAACCATCAATGACTATAATGGCCAAATACCAAAATATTAAATGTTTGGTATCACTATATATACACATAATTGTATAAAATACCACAATAATAGCTTGCTATATTAACACTACAACGACAATTTGTCACAGATCTTTGCCTCAGACTGTGCTGATTGAGGTTTTTAAGTGGGTATAACAAAACATTTACAGTTAGACATACACACATCAGTGATCACAATGCATGCTAATGATTGTAGTGTTCAGAAGTTGATTTGCTCCTTAATCAAAAAGACTACACATGGTGTACAAAATGCAGGGATTTTAGCAGTAAACTAAATTGCTCTGACCAGAGTGATAAATAGAAAAGGTTATGACATGTAACATAGACCAATATTTTCAATTTAATTCAAGTTTTGTGTTAAACTTTTAAGAATGACACTGTGGTTGATCTTTTGTGTAGCACATAAATTTTTATTCCTGTTTTATTTTATTAATAACTCGTTTTTAACATTATTTGCGCCGTGTCGCCATAGTAAATTACCACTCAGTTAACTGGTCTCCTTCAAAGTCCCGTTCAAAATCACACTCCACATCACAATCACAGCCTTAAGCTTTTAAATGTCATAACATGGTTATATTTCATTCCGGTTATGTTTTCTGAGCATCTTTCCCACATGAATGGTGACAAAAACATGTTAGCATCTGTGCAGCTCCGTATCATGTGTCTCCTTCTCTTAGCGTTCACTTTTGGTCCCTTAATGCACACAGCGCCATCTACTGCATACGGACTGACACTAAGGACAAAGTCACCAGACCTACTTGAAAATGAATACTGTAATTTTAAAACGGTTTAGAGTCCCTAGCTGTATAAATTCGGATTTTAAAAAGAGAGCAAGATATTTTAATCCAGTCTTTCTAACACCTCTGCTGTTTCTGAAAACCAAAAGTGCAGCTCCATGCTGTCCACCTTACAACAAAGGGCCATTTGTTCACATCAAAACAGGGTTTTTCATAAAAATTCCAGCATGTTATGTTCTGCGTAAAATAAGGCATTCTGTTAAGAGCTAAATACACATGTTCCACCTCAATTCTCACTAGCAAAAGCTCACGAATCCCCGTTGATATGCTATGGCCTTACTGCTCAATTGGTTGTACTTAGCTGCAGCAGTGGTCTTCACTCCGCACCAATTCAGTCAGTCTGTTCAGGGTCAAATACACTTGTTTATTCTTTATTCTCACTAACACAGGGGCTCACGAAAATACTGGGTTCATCTAATTGTTGATGGCTAATATTTGTTCATGGTGGGCTGTGCAAAAACACAGCAATACAGAGCGATGGCCCTCACCTCCAACATGACCCCGCCTCTTATATCACCCTACCTCTAACATAAGCCCGAATCTTCAACAAAACCCTGCCCCTAGAACATGACCCCTCCTCTACACAATGATCCCGCCTCTAAACCATGACCTCGCCTCTCACATGACCCCACTCTATAACATGCCTCGCCTCTTAAATGATCCCACCTCTAACATGACCCCACTTTTTACATGAACCTGCCTCTCTAGGAGTCTCTGCCTCTAACATGACCCTACCTCTTACATGGCCCTGCTTCTACAACATGACCCCCCCTCTGCAACATGACCCCGGCTTTTAACATGATCTCACCTCTAACATGACCCCACCTCTTTCATGACCCTGTCTCTGTAAAGGACCCCACCTCCCTGACATGACTTTGCCTCTACAACATGACCCCACCTCTCAAATCTGACCCCAGCTCTAAACCATAACACCGCCTCTACATGACTTGCCTCAATAACATGACCCAGCCTCTAACATGACCCACCTCTAACATGACCTCACCTCTACGACATGACCCTGCCTCCACAACATGACCCACCTCCAACATGAACCTAACTCTTACATGACCCTGCCTCTTAAAAATGACACTGCCTCCCTGACATGACCCTGACTGTAACATCACCCTACCTTTTACATGACCCCGCCTCTTCAACACGACCCACCTCTCTAACATGAACCTGCCTTTAAATCATGACCCCACCTCTAGAACATGACCCCGCCTCTACAAAATGACCCCCACCTATAACATGATCCCTTCTCTAACATGACCTCGCCTCTTAAAAATAGACCCTCCTCTACAACATGACCCTTCCTCTTAACAATGACCCCTCCTTTACAACATGAAACAGCTTCTTACATGATACCGCCTCTTCAACATGACCCAGCCTCTAGCATGACCCCACCTCTTAGCCATGACCCTGCCTCACCAACATTTTCCAGTCTCTTTAACATGAACCTGCCTCTAAACCATGACACCGCCTGTCTAATATGACCCTGCCTTTAACATGACCCCATCTCTACAACACGACCCAGCCTCCCTAACATGATCCCACCTCTACAACATGACTGCGTCTCCAACCTGATCCCACCTCCAACATGACCCCACCTCTAACATAACCCCACCTTTCTAGAAGTCCCGCCTCTTTAATGACCATGCCTCTTTAATGACCCCACCTTTACAACATAACCCCGCCAAATATCATCCCTCCTCTACAAGATGACCTGCCTCTACACAATGACCCAACCTCTCAACCATGACCCCGCCTCTACAAAATGACCCCTCCTCTACAACGTGACTCCAACTCTAACATGACCGCGCCTCTACAACAGGACCCCGCCTCTAACATGACCCTACCTCTACAACATAAGCCCGCCTCTAACATGACCCTGCCAAATATGATCCCACCTCTACAACATGACCCCGCCTCTTTACAATGACCAAGTCCCTAAACCATGACCTCACTAGGACTATTACAAAGTAGCCTAGACATAATTCTTTACAGGTGGGAAAGGCAGAATTACTCCTTTGTTTTAACATACATAATATGATTTCCAAGCTGTTTCATTAGTTAAATATATCCTTAATTTAGATTCATTGTGATACAGTAAATGCCTGGCTTTGCGTTTATAGAAATACCCTCTACAGTCCAAGATGCCAGACTTTTGTGCAGCACATGGATGCTCAAATGAACGTTCTGTTCAAACAAGAGTCCGTGGAATCACCTTTCACTTGTAAGAAATGACTTGAGGGACATATTTAGGATAATTGTTACTACCTTAGTTAAATCTGTACTTGTACAATTCAAGTTATTTTCACCGTGACGTTTTAAAAATGTTTCTACCATTTGTTTACATAATCATTGAATATTTCTTTTTCACATTTTTTTTAACATGTTACTGTAGTTGTTCGAAAACATCTTGCGATGCAAAATCTTGGACACATCATCAGTGATAGTACCTGGGATCACGGGGGGTTTCGGGTCTTTCAACTTCAGAACCCCTCACCCAGGCGACCCGACCGGGAGTGATCAGTTCCCGGCCTGTGTTCAAGAAGCGCTCATCCAAGCCTTGTCCCTCTGAATCCACAGCCATCGTGATGCTTTCTCAGCTGCTTCTGAAGCTCAGCAGATGGCTTTCCTCTTACATGCCCCTGTGATGCCTAGGAGACTGTAGGCCCTGCAGAGTGACTTCCCTGCAAAGCCCCTTCCCCCGACTGACCTCAATGGGCAGGCATCTTGCATGCCACCCCCTGTTGCGGCAGTCCTCCACCAGCTCGGCGTACTTCTCCCTCTTTCTCCCACTGGCTTCCTCCATCCTCTCCTCCCAGGGCACCGTCAGCTCCAACATGATGACCTGCTTGGAAGACTCTGATTGTAGGACTATGTCTGGTCTCAGGCTGGTTTCCGTGATGTTCTAAGGGAACTTAAGCTGTTTTCCGAAGTCCACCCTCAGCTGCCAGTCCTTTGCTGTTCCCAGGAGTCCTGTTTGGGCCTTTGGTTGGGGAGGAGGTTTTTTCCCCAGCCCTCACAAATGCTATTCTGTGCCTCAGTGGTTGCAGGTGCTTGCTGTGGTCAATGGCAGAGTGGATGGACTCAGCAACTGCCTTCAGCACCTGGTTGTGGCGCCAACGATAGCGGCCATCTCCAAGTGCCTTACGACAGCTGCTGAGGATGTGCTTCAGTGTTCCCCTCCCCTGGCACAAGGTACATGATGGAGCTTCAGCCTTGCCCCAAAGGAAGAGGTTTGACGGGCTGGGCAGGACATCATAGACAGACTGTTATTGACTTGTTATTTAAGTTTACATAATGGCATTCAAGCATAGGCTACAAGAATTACCCCAACAATATCATAATTTAACTCTGTCTTTCTGTCTTCACCATTAATGTTAAAGGTAAGAAGGATGTAAAACGTTGTCAATAATTCATATCTCGGTATCTTCTCATGTTTTTAAGGTTTCCCCAAAACGCAGAGAAGAGGAGGCAATTGGAACTTGCTCTACAAAAGGAGCATTTTGTTTCAACTAAAAACTTCAAACTATGCTGCTAACATTTCAGGAGTGAGGATTTTGACAGGACAGGGCAGACTGTCCGGCTTAGAGCTGGTGTTGTACCAACCATTTTCAACTTCCCTGCTCATCTCCAAAGGGTATGTGTACCATTGGCCAACAAGAATTCAAGCTGTTTAAGATAGATAAATCAATGTTTTATGATTCTGCAAGTTTAGGAATACATTAAGAGTTGTGCATCAAGAACATTTTAATATTTAACTGTTTATTTTAGCCGGTAGCAACAAGAAGCACAGCTGCCTCTGGAAGAGCAGAAGAAAACCTGCCAATGGATCTGCACCAGGATGAACCTCCGCCTGATGTTGTGAGTATTTGTACACGTGTGGACTGTCACTTACAAATAAGAGCATCATATGGCTTGTCATTAAATCAGCCCCTAGGTAAGATGGCAGCCGTGTGACAGCGTTTTTTTTGTGAGATTATTTTGGACGTCAACATATTTTTTCGAACCCGTATCCTGTCAATACAAGCGTTCACATCAGCAACGTTTTCCCATCCTGCGATATTGTGGCATTTATTTTTTCGCATCATGGTCGATTTTTCTAAAGTTTCCCATACTGTGTGCTTACTTCTGACCAATCAGATTGCATGTTGTTGCGATATCCAGATGTACACCTAGGCATTTATATGATGTCACCACTTCGATGTCCACTCTACAGGTGTTCACTGGCTGAAGAGGGGGTTTGGGTCTATGGAAGTCTATGACCATCTCCTTTGTCCTTTAGGTGTTGAGAAGGAGGCACTTTTTGTGACTCGAGTCACTGAAGGCCCTTATTAGATCTCTGTATTCAGCTTCTTGTCAATTTCTGATACATGCCACAATAGCGGTGTCATCTGAGTATTTCTGGATGTGGCAGGACTCAGTGCTGTATTTTAAGTCTAAAGTATACGGTGTGAACAGGAATGGCGCCAGCACTGTCCCTTGTCGAGCCCCTGTACTGCTCATTAATGTCCCAGAAACACAGTTTCCCAGCCTGACAAACTGTGGCCTCCCTGTCAGGTAATCTGCGATCCAGGAAACACAGGAAGGATCCACTCCCATCTCTGTGAGCTTGTCTTTAAGTATGGTAGGTTAAAAGGTGTTGAATCCACTTGAAAAGTCAAAGAACACGATCCTCACATAAAGCCCAGGTTCCTCCAGATGAGACAGGGCACAGTGAAGCATGTAGAGGACAGCATCATCCACTCCATTGTGTTCTTTGTGTGCATACTGCAGGGAATCCAGTTTGTCTTTGACCTCAGACCTCAGAAGGTGTAGAATCAGCCGCTCCAGGGTTTTCATGATGTGTGAAGTGAGGGCCGCTGGTCTGTAGTCCTTGAGTTCAGCCGGACATTTTGTTTTTGGTACTGGCACAATGTAGGATGTTTTCCACAGAGTAGGTACTTGCCCCAGCGGTAGACTCAGGTTGAAGATCTTGTGGAGAGGTTGACACAGTTCTGCAGCACAGTCTCTAAGCAGCCTTGGACACACACCATCTGGACCAGCTGCCTTCCCAGGACAAAGTCTTCCAATCTCCATCCTCACCCCTGTTTCGGTGACAGACAAGAACTGGTGTTCTAGGAGGGAGGCAGTTGAAGTGGTTAAGACATTTGAATAAGAGGGAGGAGGAAGGGGAGAAGTTGTAGTGGAGAATTTTGCGGAGAGGAAGGTGCAGTAGCAGTGGAGGTGGGAGTGACAGCAGTGTCCAATCTGTTGAAGAACAGGTTGAGTTCATCAGCTCTTTCCAGATCACCCACCACTGGCTGTCTTTTCTTTTTATTGCTGTATCCAGATATGGTATAGATTCCTCTCCACACTTCACGGATGTTGCTGTGTTGTAGATTCTTTTCTATCTTCTTTTTGTACTCCAGCTTTGCAATCTTCAGTGTCTTCTTCAACTCTTGTTGCACTTGTTTGAGTCGTTCTTTGTAACCATCTTTAAAAGCTTTCTTTTAGTGGTTAAAGATTGCTTTTATGTCACTTGTGATCCAGGGTTTGATGTTGGCGAAACAGCGAACAGTCTTGGTGGGTATATTGGTGTCTCTACATAAGTTGACATAATCAGTAAAGCAGTCAACCTTTTTATCAATGTTCATACTATCCACATCTGTTTTCAGCAGCACATTCCAGTCTGTTGATTTAAAACAGTCCCTAAGAGCTTCACTAGCTTGAGGTGTCCATCATCTGATTTTGCCTTTGGTAACAGGCTGCCTCAGTACACAACGTCTGTAACAGGTTTGCAGATAGACCAAGTTATGTTCCGACTTGCCCAGTGATGGTAAGGCAGTGGCTCTGTAGGCTTCTTTGATGTTGGCATACAGCAAATCCAGACTTTTGTTTTCTCTGATAGGATAGTTCACAAACTGTGTGAATCCAGTCAGGTGAGAGAAGAGGGTGACATGGTTGAAGTCTCCCGATATTATTAGATTATTAGTACCTCAGGGTGTTGAGTCTGTAGCCTGGCTACACTATTTTGCAAAACAGCACAAGGAATTTCTTCAGTTGATTTGGGTGGAATGTAAACAACTATTGTTATGATATGACTAAATTTTCTTGGAACATAATATGGCCGAAGAGCAGCTGCCAACAGTTCAATATCTGGACAACACAACTTCTCCTTGACAGTTATGTGTGAAGGGTTACACCATCTCTGGTTGACCAATAAAGCCAGACCTACTCCTTTCTTCTTGCCACTAGCTTGAGCATCTCTGTCTGACCTTATAAGAGTGAAACCAGGTAGATCCTCACTGGAGTCCGAGTTGTTTTGATATAATAATTCTCACTATTCATGTCTTATTCTACAAAAATTCTGACATTAACTGTTTCATCATATTCATACCTGCCTTGTTTTCTAAACCTACTAAATTTCCATCAGGCAGTGCCTTCAGGTTTTAGTTTTCCACAGTATAAATCCCTCTGACTATTCATGCCTCATACTGCTCCTTTGTACAATTTTCTATTCATTTAAACAGATTAAAACTTTCATATTTCACACATTTAAACTGTTGTGATTGTAAGCATGTGAAATTATTCATTCTTTTATAAAAGTGAATTAAAACTCAAGACTTCCATATTGTTACTCTATTGACATTGAACCAGAAATAAAAAAATATTAAAATTAAAACAGCAATAGAACAACATGTGGTGTATATGGCACCATCAGCCTTCGAACCTCTAAGCATGTCAGGAAAAAACTCCCCCCAAAAATGCTTTCTCAGGACAAGAGGAAAAAACCTTTAGGTAGGCCAGATCTTAGAGGGATCCCCTCCCAGGACAACTAATCATGCAGTATTTTCAAGTTCTATGGTCAGCAGAGATCAAGTGGCTTCAGGGTCGCTGGTTGCTGGGTTTGGCTTTGCAGCTTATGTAGAGCTGGTTCTGTGATGAGCTGAGAGGAAAGACAACAGTTACACCAGAAGATGAGACATACTTGGTGAAGCTCAGAGCTGTTGTTCCCCAGGTCAGAACCCTTCTCTGCTGTTGACTCAGTGCTTGGTTCTAGGAAGCCACAATGAAGATCTGCAGGACTTTGCTAGTTCTTCAGCTCATGCTGAGTTCTGTGATTTACAGAGAGAAGTGAAGGTTGTCACATCAGATGAACACAAACAAATGATGTGACTGCTGAAACAAATACATACCAGTTAAAGGTCTGGCATTGTGTGAGCAACAACTTTTCTAATGCTGGATCAAAAGTTTCTTCGGCTCTGAGAGTCACAGTGATGAGTTGATGGACTTCTTTTGTTGCTGACCGGTCACACACACACAGAGGGTTTGTTTTCCTGTACAGCACTGGCAGACAAAACTTTCCATTAATTTTCATTACCTTTAAACTTTTTTTTAAGCAAATGTCACAAAACTCTTCATGATCAATAAATTGTTCAGTCGACTCACAACATGCTTAAGTCCTGCAGAAGATCAGTTGCAGCACCTCCTTTCAGAATAGTGCTGCGTACACGGTGTGTCGGTTTAACTGGTGTTAAGTTAACTGGTGACACTCCAAGCAGATGTTCAAGAGGCATGGCTTTTGAGGACCTTTGTTGACGTTCCGTTTATCATTCACCATCTAATTACACACTTGCAACCGAATCGTACCAATTTATAGGGCCTTTTGAGACATGCATGTCTAGCGGAATGAGTTTATTGGGTCAAAGATGAAGATGAATGCACGAAACATAGGAAGAAGGAAATCGGTTCAAAATATAGCTGTCAACGAGTGAGAAATTTAACAACCCACTGAGCAAAAGACGTTTATTAGAGGTCTAGTCTAAATTTATACTTCATTTCAACGTCGGGATTCCAGCTATTTTTAGACATGATTTATACTTCGCCCTTAACTTCATTTTTCGATAACTTTTTATGCAATAAACTTCTGTATTGTGCATAACTGACCTCTCAATACTGGATTACATTACTTATGATACCGTGGAGAGATATGCAGCATAGTATAGATGTAGACGTCATTTACATGTATAAATATATACTTCATTTCAACGTCGGAATTCGGTCTATTTTTAGACGTGATTTACACTTTGCACAAAACTTATTATTCGATAACTTTTTATGAAAAAGACAACTGTAGGGTGCATAACTGACCTCTAAATACTGGATTAGATTACTTATGATACTGTGGAGAGATATGCAGCATAGTATAGATGTAGACATCATTTACACGTATAAATTTATACTTCATTACAACGTTGGGATTCGGTCTATTTTTAGACGTGATTTAGACGTAAAAATGTATACGTCATTTCAACGTCTACATATAGACCGAATCTAGACAATTGATTTTAATCTACAATTCAAGAGTTGATGATTTAAAATGATAACTGAACATTGCAGAACTGATCTTAATCTACGGGTGTCAAATAACACTCCGGAGTGTGACCAGTGTTTTCGCCTTATCTGGTCAAAACGCATATATGGCAAAAAAAAACAACTTTGGATCTTAAAGCCTGGGTCCTGCTGTGCACTCGACAACAAAGTTAGTCGCTGAAATTCCATTTCATTATTAGATTTCATGTGTTTTATCCGTCTCGGTAACGCCTGCTGCCACCGTGACAGTAATCCAGCCACCGTATTGGTGGAGCACGCTCACGTGACCATTCTTATTCCACCAGGAGCAAAGTAGTCCATGATAAAAGTTACCGGCATAGCCGCAAGAACACGAGATGAGTGACAAAAAAGTATTTGGTAGCTCTGCAAGAGCCCAGCCTTACACCCTTATGGAGATCATACCATAATCGGACCATAACATGAAAACGGCTTCAAATTGTGGACCGCACAACATCCGGCTGAAGCATTGCGCTTTGTCCACACTCAACCCCATGACCGTCAGACTACACCAGAAGTTCCAGTCGTTCCAGAGTTCGAGAATTATACTTTCAGCTGAAAAGAGGTGGGTGCTGCAGGAGATATTATAGAAAATGTTTATTTTTGCAAGCTTTGGTCCTCCCACCGTCGTGCATCATGATGCGTGACGGTGAAATGCATTCACGGCAAATGTTAAACTCGAGTTCGCATGTAGCCTGGTTGCTACTACGAGGGCTAGCTTGTGGCTAGTTTAGCCAGCGTGGGCCCAACACCATCAAACAGTCCATGCTAACGTGTGTTGTCATGAAAGGAAATAAGGGCCTGCTCTCTCTGTTGGAGCCTAGCTTAAAAGCTGCTAGTTAGGCTATCAATTTAAATTAGAAAATGAAGTCTATTGTGATGCTAGTACTGTTGTTTTTGTTTATCCAGTGTTATTTTTTTTTATATAGTTAAATTTGTGTTTAACTGTAATTGTCATAGATTGTTTTTCACTGTGTGTGGTAGAAATGGGACGCATTAGTTGAATTATTCTAATATTAATTTGTTAATGCATTAGCAGTGCTATAGGAAATGCTAATACTAAAAATCTGAAAATATTGGTATTAGTATTTTAGTAAGTAAAAGTAAGTATTTTTTTTTAACCAAGAGCAAAAGGTATTCATTATGCATTATGTCCTGCTTCACAAGTTGCCAATCGTACTAAAAAAGCAAAACAATTTTATAATGGTTGATCTACAAGCTCACACTGTTAAAACATTATTATTTTTCTATTTTCTTTTTTCCATGTGTTTTCTTTCCAGCCAAATTGAATATGGCCTCTAATTATTTGAAAGAGTAGCGGAGAAAAAGAGCTAGGGAGGGTGATTTCTTAGATGAATTTACCAGTGATGTGGATGTGTCACAGGAGGACACACAAGAGGAGGGTGGGGCAAGTCAATCTGGCCAACCACCAAATGAGACAACATCTTTTGAAGCACAGCATTTGGAGGACCTGCTAGAGGGTAGGGCAAGTCAATATGGCCAGTTAACAGACAACACTTTAGGAAGTACTTCTTTCAATACAACCTTGGAAGAAGAGCCTGATAATCAAGAGGACTAAAGTTATAGTGATATCCAGACACAAGTGATGAAGAAACCGAGCTTGTTGACTTGGAATCCCAAACCGAAGATGAACTGTCAAGCCTAAGAGAGGATGTGGCAGCTTGGGCTGTAGAAACAAAGCAGACTCACAGTAGTGTTCATAAGATGTTGGCGATCCTCCGCAAACATGGCCACAATTTGCCCAAAGATGTCTGCACACTATTGCAGACTCCGTGTTTTGTGGACAGTAAAAAAAGTAAGAGTGGCATAACTTAAGTACAAAATGTTGTTATGTAATGTATTGTAATTATTGAATTGAATGTTCCTACATCATATCTTTTCACTAAGAGTTCCAGCGGGTGGTTGTGGAAACACTTTTGGAAATCTGCGATGAATTGAAATCGCTCAACATTGAAGATGAGGGTGGGCGGATGGGTCAGTTGCCGTTAAGGACTTTGGAGGAGGCTCAGCACATGTCGTTGGAGATCGATAGGTACCCCAACATAAAACTTTCACTGCTAAGTCAAATAGAGATGCTAAAAATCATAGAAATCTATACATTAGACACTCTTGATAATTTGATTGTATCATACAGATAAAACTATTGTCATACCTTGGGGGGAAGGACATAAAGACCTGCAGACGCAGGATCCTGGACAGGTATGAATATGAATACTTGAAAATGAATGCAAGACAATATAATGGTCAATATTATTAATATAATCATGTATTGTTGGTGTTTATCAAGTCATTTTAGTGAATTGCAAGAGTAAGCAGTATTGAGGTGCGTTCATACAGGCACTTGCGCAACTGTAGTGAGGGTTTCTCTGACGTTTTAGGGACTTGTTCAGCAAATAAAGAGCAGCGCTGGACACAGTATCCGACGAGATCAAGGGGAAACCTAGAGCGGGCGTGGTATAATGCCCAACGCGAACTGATGGTGGCAAAGTGACACGTTTAAGGACACGCAACGTAACGGCCCCTCGAGACGCAACAAGTTGCGTCGCCTGTCCGGTGTGAACGCATCTTAAGAGATTTATTTGTCTTTGATATCCATTTCAGAATTTTACACAATGACATGCAGAGGAAGTACAACCTCCTGGGTGGAGGACACCAGGGGAAAAAATGTTGCTTCTGCTTGAAGTTGTTTGCTCCTTTGTTCTCTGCAACAACTCACACTGATTTTCAGGTGTTCCTTATCAGCCGACACCCGAAGGTCGGCCATCTCTGGTGTACAGGGGCGGCCATTTTAGGTGTACCAAGGGGTGGCCATCTTGAATGTCCCATGGGCGGCCATCTTGGGTGTACAAATTTGAAGTCTGAGGTTTGCTTCGACACCTCCCACTTGACCTTCTCTGTTTCCAACTCAGAGAAGTCACACAAGTCCTTCTCACTTCTGTCATTTGTTCTTCAATGGGGAATAGAATGACAAGCCGTCTGACATCTCTATGAAGAGTTGTGGCTGGGATTTTGTATTTAAGGCCTTTAGTCTTTTTCCCTGTTTTGGGCATTTCTTTGCCATCTGCCTTTGTGATGAGCACGGGATAGCTGGGAAATGTTTTCACAAGCACATCTCTCACAATGCCTTTGCTGTCAGTGTTGACATCGACAACTCTTGCCAGCTTGTACTGTGCTCGAAGGGCATTTTGGTCAGCCAACCAGACCAGGAATCCAGAGTTCACGTCCTTTTATACTGCCAGTCTGCTGAGCATTGTATCTGGAAAAGTTATGCATTCTTGAGCAGCGAGGAGGAGGTCTTCAAAAGCATCCTCCAATTATTTTCCAGACAGACCAGCTTGCTTGGGTGCCGTTGCCTCCCACTTTGGGTGTTCAAGGGCATGGCACTTTCTTTTGAGCCACAGTTTGGCAGCCTGACAGACCCAGGCGATGACTCTAACCAGTTTGGACAGGCAACTGGATCTTCTGATAGCCACAAGATCTTTGATCCAGCCCTTTCGTCTTGAAAGAATTGAAGTTGGTTTTGCATCTTGACAGGGCATTTTGGTCTCCTGAGTAGCCAAGTGGTCTTTCTGCTGACTCCTTTTTGTTTGGGCTCTTGTTACTGCAGCTGAGAATGCCTTCCTTTGGAGCTTGTTCATTCTCCCTGGCATGAGCTGTGACCTCTCCAGCTGATTTAATAGGCCATTCCTCCACTGGCCACTTTAGGAACGCCGGTCTATCCTGCTATGTGGAATTCTCCTTTAAATCTTCAGGTCTGCCCCCTCTTGTTATGATGTCAGCAAAGTTCTGATCTCCACGGATCCACCACCATTCTTGCACGGGGCAGCCTTCTGGATTTCACCCACTCTGTTTGTAAAGAAGGTTTGGTACCCATAACTGTCTCTTTGTATGGCCCCCAGGACTGTTTGGCTGTCAAGCAGGTGGAACCATCTCTTGATTTTCATCCGTGCATGCTTTTCCACATACTTCCTGATCCTGGCTGCAAAGACATCTACCTTCTGATGCAGAGGTGTCAGCTTGGCTTTTGATTCCACAAATTGAACTTCAATGCCATGACTTACCATCTTAAGTACATCACAGCTCTGTAGGTTTTGTCACTTCCATGAGAGAATGTGATGCCCCAAGGGCTTCCCTTCCAGTCAGCTGGTGTGAGGCTCCTGTGGAATTTCACTTGTCCAAGCTGCACATACTCCTCGAAAAGCTGTATGGCTTCTTCTGAGGCTTTCTGAAAGTGGTTGGTCCCAGCTTTCTTGGGTCAACTTGCCACCTCCTACCTCTTGGAATGCTTTCCGGACAAGAATTGCTCCCTTCTGTTTGAATGGTGCTGCTAGGCCAATTGGGTTGTACAGTCCAGCTACTTGGCTTGAGAGAGCCCTTCTTGTCAGGGGGTTGGGTGTTTCAGTTCTCACCTCCTTTTCGAGAAGATCTTTGCCGACTCTCATCTTCTTTCTTTTGGAGAAGTTAACAGAGGTTAGCATGTACAGCTTGTCTTCATCCACTTGGTAGCCGATGCCCAGAGCTTTGTTGTCTTCTTCCCTCATTTGATTTGGAAGAATGAAAGTTTTGCCTTGTTCCTTTAGGACTTCTGTTCCCATTCCTTTCCTCCCACTTTGACCTGATCAGACCCATGGTTTGAGGAAGAAACCGCCATCTTCAACAAAAGTTGAAGATCTCTTCAACCTTTGTTTTGATTTTGCCCAGTCTGTTTAGGTCGTTGTGGGAGGTTAAGAGGTCGTCCACATAACTGTTCTTTTCAATGACTCTGCACTCTTCTTCCAAGTGAGCAAAGTTTGGCCGGCTTGCTGTTCCTCTCATGGCCAACTGAGCAATGCAACCAGCAGGTTTGTTGCCGATGTTGACTCTGGTGATTGCATATTCACTGATCTCCTCTTCTGGGCTGTCTCTCCAGAGGAATCTGTGCAGATGCATCTCACGCTTCTCCAGCCAGACAGAGTTGTACATCTTTTTTATGTCTCCCAGAGATGCATGCACACCTTCTCTGAATCTCAGCAGGTCAGCTCTAATGGGGTTGAGAACATCAGGTCCCTTCAGAAGAAGATCATTCATGCTCACGCCTTTGAATTTCTGGCTGCTGTTCCATACAATGCGAACTGGCATTGTGACTGAATGAGGGTTTGGTGCCACCAGATGGCTCACATACCATACTGGGCCATTCCACTTGTCCATGATTTCTTTGGTGAGTTTTATGGCTGCACCTCGATCGACCATTTCATGGATCTGGGTTGCATAGGCAGCTTTCCAGTCTGGTTCTCTGCTCAGTTGCTTTTCCATCCTTAAGAAGCAAGCCTGGACAGCACCTCTGTTGTTGGGGAGAGAGGCAGGATCTTCAACCTAAGGATACTTTGCATCCCAGTGTGGAGTTGGAGTGTGAGCATCCTCCTCCTTGTAGGTGAGGCCTCCCTTAATGATCTCATATTCCCTCTCCTCAGCCAGAGTCATTTCCTTTCCTCCTGGTGGACAGTTTCCACATCTGCATCCTCCACATCTTGGCTCACATGCAGCTCCGATGCTGTCCCAGTGCCACCACTTAAGGAACTCAGTGACTGGTAGCTGTGAATTTATTCTGGGCTGCATCCAGCCCGACTGTCTCAGTTGTTGGACTTGTGAGTCCTTGGTATTTGACTGCTGCTGTTCTCATGGAGCGGACAAAGTGTGTCCTGGACTCATAGGCTGCTAGCTCCACATCTTCCACCAGGTCTGGGTGAGCTCCTCCAACTGTCTTGCCTAGTGGACCTTCCCATAGGACGAGGTCTCCAATGACTTTTACTCTCTGGGGAGCCAGTCTTCCCTCTCTGTGGCTTATGAGGAGCTCAACCTCCTTTGGCCTTTTCAGCTCTTCGAGCTTAACCTCTGGAAAGAAGTTATGCAGTTTTTCAGGTTCGATGACTTGATGTACTTTGGCAATTTCATCTAAGCCATGGCAGATGAGTTCATGGCCTCTTTCAGTACTTTTCAGAATCTTGACTCAGACTTTGAGGAGGTATCTTTTTGTCTTCACCTCCATTGTCATCCCTCCAACTCCATGCACGACAAAGGTAATAGTCTCACTCATTAGCCTCAATCTTCCAGCAGCCTTGTGGGTTATGTAGTTGGTGTCAGATGCCAAGTCAATTAATGTACCAATTTTCTGACCAGCATTGGCAGTGACGTGCAGCAACATCATGATGACTGGAAGCTCTGAGAGGCCATTGTCCATCAGCAGCTCAGACTGGCCTAAAGTATCAAAAGCCATTGATGTTTTGTTGGTAAAAGCCTTCCTGCATCGCTCTGACATTTCAGGGGAAAGTTCAAACAAGAACTGTTCTTGTTCCTCTGTCAGTTTACTTCAGCCTTTGATGTCCTTTCCACTTTTTCTCGCCTCACTTCTTCCGATTCCTCCTTTTGGGCAGAGAAGATAATGGTGATCTGGAGTACTGCCTCTTCTCTTACGGTCAGCGTTCCTGCATAGGAAGGTTTCTTTGCAGTCTTCAGCATCATCATGGCACACAAGGCATTTACTGCATGCTCCAGTCTTTTCCAATGCAGCTCCAGTCTGTTCCAATGCAGCTCTCTTTTCAGGCAATGACAGTCTTTTGAACTTCCGACAGAAGAAAATCTTGTTCTTGTGCCCACTATCTCCGCAGACACCACATCCTTCAAGCTCTTCCTTAGTGGTTCTTGTTAAGCCAATCTTTTCCCCATATTTGTCAGAACGGTCATGCTTCTCCATCTTGTCAACAACTTTGAGCTGTTCAAGTCTCTCAAGAACGTCTTCTTGGTTCTTGAGAAAGGTAAGGAGCATGTCAAAGTGGTTATCTGACTTGACATTGTTCTTTGGCTCCACCATGAACATCACCCAGTCTCTTTTTATGAACTCCGGCAACTTGCTCTCGATTGATTTGATCACTAGTGGGTTTTTTATGGCTCCAGAATTTCCCAACTCGGTCAGGTCTGTCAGGGCCTTCTCCACAGACTGAATGAGGTCGATGACCTTTCTTGGTTGGTTCCCTTTCACAGGTGGCATCTTCTCCAGTGTGATAGTTGGGTTGTTGCCAAACCGGTTATCCAACACTCCGAAAATTTAATTCGCTGTGGTATAGGTTGAAAGTCTCAGATCTTTAAAGATTTTGTCATCGACACTCTCCAGGAGTTGGATTTTCCTCACTTCAGGCGATCCAGATGGCTCTCCTTGCCTTTGCAGGCTCTCCCAGTCTTTCTTCCATCTATGATAGTCTCTTTTGCTGCCGTTGAAGATGGGTAGAGAGGTTGGCTTTATTTTAATAATTGGTGGAGTTACAGGTTGCTGGGGAGAAGCCACTCCTGTGCCTTGTTCAGCATGCCGTGCCTTTGAAAATTCAAACTTCCTGCTTTCCAGCCTACAGTGGGATGTGTTGATGTCCTTGATCCCCCCATTCATTTGATCCTTTAAGTCCTCTGGTGTCCATTTTTCCCACATGGGCATAGCTGAGATGACTTTATTCACCCTCTTTTCCATTAGAGTGGGGAGCACTTCGTAGCCCTTGAAATTGGCACTTGCCACAGGAAAATTGTTCGCTTGGTCAATTGTTTTTTCTGCTTCAAGGATTGCTGTTTCGAGTTCACTTCTCAGTTCATACTTTGACCACAGAATATTTTCAACAAAGTCTCTCAATTCCTCCTGCTTTGTTTCAGATTCTTTGATTGAATTTTCAAGGTCAGCCTCATTGAGACTTGCTTCTAGTTCTGCATCCTTTAAGTCAGCCTCCAGTCCGATTCTGTAATCTTCATTTGCGTCCAGCAACTTTCTGAATCAGTAGTTTAATTTTGTGAACTCAGTTCATCTTGCAACATATTGTTCCCTCCTCTTAAGATGAAGTTGGCCTGTCTTGTGAAGCTGCTCTTTGCAGTGGTCCTCTCTTTCTTGAGTTCCTTGACCGTCTTCCCCAAGACTTCTTCAGCCATTTTTTTCTTCTTTTTTCCTTTTGAGGTTCCTTTTTTGGTCCACAGCTCTTGATCTCCAAGCTGCTTGCTGTGGTTTACAACTGTCAAGTCCCCACAGTTTTCAGTTCCAAATGACCCATGACAACTCGATTTTCAACTCAATCAACTTCTTCATTTTCCAACTTTTCATTTGGTTCTTTGTTGTTGATTGGTTGTTCTTTTCATCAGGTTGTAACCCTTCAAGACAGAAACAACAATTAGCAACATGCTAAAAAAATGTTTAAACCACCAATTAGTTATTAACAGTTTAAATAAACCCAAGAATAAGTCACTTTAATAATTCAATAATTAAAATTTTAAATGTTGGCATTAATTTAAACACATTTTAACATTTTTAGTTAATTAATCAATGTTTTAAACAATTAATATATTTTAACTAAGTGTTTTAAAGGCAGCTTATCAAGTTGAACATTCAATTTTTCTCGTAACTTTTGTACATTGAGTTTAATCTTTAAACGATATGTCTAAGCATTTTAAATTGTCACTTAAACAGGCCCAGTAGCCGCTTGCTGGCGGCTAACATACAACAAGCTATGGCGTCTCACCACCTGTCTCCCGTTGTGTGACTAGCTCCTTCATTGTCATCGTCATCGTCATTGTCATCACCTGCGGACCTCCCCATGCCCCAGCTGTCCACTGACAACAATCAAGCGCCATCAACTCCTCCCTCTAGCTCCCCCTATCGTTTTTTTCCGCAATTACCCACTTTAGGCTGCAACGAAACTAAAAGCAATGTAACCTTTCATAAAGAACACAGTCTTTGTAAATTGGATGTTGCGGCCACCTCCACCACTGACTGTCTGTTCTTTAACTCCCCTCGGAGCTCTGGTAGAGGTGGAGGTCTTGCTACCGTGTTTAAATCCAGTTTTAAGTGTTGTCAGCCTCCTTCAGATACATTCTCCAGCTTTGAACTGCCGATGTTTGAGTTACACCTATCCTCCCCCGTTTTGTCATTCATCGTCATCCCGATGCACGTGCGTGCGATAGTCACATCGCAGAGCCTGCGATGTCAGAAGTGAATGAACTCAGTTAATTTCAAGGGTAGCTGACTGAGATACACTGCATGTGACTCTGCATGTGCTGTGCAGCGATCCACCAATCACCTTTGTCCTTTACTCAGTTGCCAATCAGACTCTGTTCTCAGTTGCCAATCAGACTACCCTGCCAGCTGTCAATCAAAATCAGAGGAGGAAACCCACCCCTGCACATGTTCTGCGCATGGAGTTACTCGCTGGCTGCTGGTGTTGAGCCGAGAAACGCGTGTCCGCTGAGAATTACTTTCAGAACTTTACTCATGACTGTTAAGCCCAACAAATAAGAACTGTATGGGTTTTAAAATGTATATTTCCGTGGACCACTCTACTATAAGTGGTGCGCGTTTTGCGAGGTGCATGCAATTCTCGGAGGACATGCGTTTCTCAGCACAACACCACTAACAACAACAATAGCAAAATGAGTAACGAACAGGAGAAAACCACAGAAAATGAAGATTTGTTGCCAAAAAGAAAAGGAAAGTCAGTTATCTGGAATTATTTCGGTTAAAAGAAGGATGATGTCAACCAAAACACGTCTTCTGTGTTCATCTGTTGCCACAATAACGTCCCAGAACAATAAAAGCTAAAAATATCTCTGAGACAGACAGGAGCTATTCTACTAACATTCACAAAAAGAGGTAAGATCAGAGCAGGTTAACTGTCCTCAAGATTTCAGCAGTGCAGCATAACATTAAGTGCTATTCAGGTCATCTGGTGAAAATTCCTATATTTTTAATATCGCAATATACTGTATATCGCAGGGTTGAAAAAAATCGCAATGTTAGTTTTTTCCAATATCGTGCAGCCTTAGTTACAATCATTCCTTATGACAAATGACATCTATGAACCCTTTCAGTCCGGTTTCAAACCACGCCATAGCACTGACTCCGCACTTCTGAGAGTTTTTAATGATCTGATTTTAACTGTTGACTCAGGTAACCCTGCCCTCCTAGTGCTCCTTGGTTTAACAGCTGCGTTCGACACTGTAGATCATAATATCCTTTTAGATTGGCTAGAGCAGTGGGTAGGCAGAACAGGCCCTGCTCTTCTGTGGTTCCGGTCCTATTTAAGTGAACGCAGTTTTTCTGTGCAGCTAGGGGAATTCGCTTCAACTGCAGCCCCACTCACCTCTGGAGTACCCCAAGGTTCAATTTTACAACCGATTTTATTTTTATTGTACATGTTGCCGCTGGGCTCAATTCTCCGTAAATACAAACTTTCTTTCCACTGCTATGCCGACGACGTACAGATCTACCTGGCCTTAAACCCCTCAAATAATGACTCTGTACAGACGCTGCTGGACTGTTTTTTAGAAGTTAACGGTTAGCAGAAAACTTCCTACATTTGAATGAAACCAAAACGGAGGCTATATTATTTGGCTGTAACCCATCTGACCTCCCAGCCAATTATCTGGGCCCTCTCACACTGAATGTCCGTGCATCGGTAAAGAATCTCGGCGTGACCTTTGACAGTAATTTTAAACTCGACAAGCAAGTCAACTCTGTGGTCAAAAATAGCTTTTATCAACTGAGAACTCTGTCTAAGGTAAAGGGTTACCTCTCTCGAAGAGACTTAGAGACAGTTATACATGCTTTTATCAATTCAAGATTAGATTACTGCAATTTCCTGTATGTTGGCTTGGATCAAAATCTGCTCCATCGACTTCAGCTGGTGCAAAATGCAGCTGCCCACCTCCTTACTGGGAAATGTAAAAGAGAACATATAACCCCTGTGCTTGCTTCTCTCCACTGGCTCCCAGTCTCTTTTAGAATAAATTTTAAGATTTTATTGTTTGTTTTTAAAGCTCTTAATGGACTGGCCCCCGGGTATTTGTCCAAGCTCTTACACATTCATGCCTCCGCTAGAGCACTGAGATCTGCCAATCAGCGGCTATCGGTCGTCCTGAAGACTCGCCTAAAGAGTAGAGGTGACCGAACCTTTGGGGCAGCTGCTCAAAGGCTCTGGAACAGCCTGCCTCACTACATCCGTTCAGCCGAGTCGATAGAGGTTTTTAAATCCTCTTTAAAAACACACTTTTTCTCCCTGGCTTTTACCTAGCTCTTGATTGGTATTTTTTATATTTTATATTTGTTTTTTATCTACCTACGTATTTTATATTTGTTTTTAATTAATGGTGTATTTGTACCTCAATTTTACTTTGCTGTATTTTAATCTTGTATTCTGTGTTTTTTATCATATTGTTTACTGTCTGTTTTATGTATTTCACTGTGTCTTATCGACCTGTACAGCACTTTGGTCAGCTTCGGTTGTTTTTAAAGTGCTCTATAAATAAAGTTTGAGTTGAGAGTTGAGTTGAGTTTAGATTAAACTAAACTATCAAATTGTAAAAGGTAAGTAAATTCCAAGGTAAGTAAATTTTAAACTTTTAACTTACTTTCTTTTTAAGCAAATAAGTGAGATAAATTAGGGCCTTTTCAAATACTTCTACAAAACAAATAAGTACTATAAAACTTAAAGCAAATGTTGCTGCAATGCAATACTCTTTCCCCAAATACATTTTAACAGTAGCACTTAACAAGCAGCATCTCAAACACATTTCAAACACACAAGGTAAGTGAAGAGTCTACCGACCATTAGCGTCACGGAACTTGTATAGTTGAGTAGAACTTGATTCTTTGTGGAGCTGCTTCTGCTTGAAGTTGTTTGCTCCTTTGTTCTCTGCCACAACTCACACTGCTTTTCAGGTGTTCCTAATCAGCCGACACCCGAAGGTGGGCCATCTTTGGTGTACAGGGGCGACCATTTTGGGTGTTCCAAGGGGCGGCCATCTTGAATGTGCCATGGGCGGCCATCTTGGGTGTACAAATTTGAAGTCTGAGGCTGTGTCCGAAATGGCATACTGCCTACTATCTACTTACCTACTCAAGCAGTACCTACTGCATATTGACTACTCAAAGATGATTTGAGTATGCCGCGGCTGCCAGAGCGTTTACATACAGATTCATACTAAATACCCCAGAATGCATTTCCTGCCGGCCAGACGCAGCGCTGTACCACAAGCTACACAGAACGACTGCATTCCGGACAAATTATATAAATTCATTCAATAATAATATTTTTTCTAGCAAGAAAGTAAGTGTTTACATTATGATTATGAGCCCAGTTGTTTGAAATAGTGGCTGTTTGTAAATTTGTCTCAGCGTTTTCGAAGACCGAAGCGTCCGCTTGGTGGGTGATTGTGTCTATTTACCGTAAACACTGGGCAGCAGCAGCTCCCCCTTCACGTTTTCAAATTATTGCGAAGTGTTTTCATAATCACCATCGACATGACACAAACCGGGCGGCAGTGGATGAAAAAAAATCACACAAACATCTGTGTATCCATGGTGATAATGCTATACACCACAAGCTAGGTATGTGATGAGCAGCAGAGGGCTGCAAAATGACCAACACACAACATAATTATTATGACCTCGTTCGTTTATTCCTTGGCAAATACATCATTTCCCGACTACATTCTTTTCATGCACAATGATAATTTCAGAAACCATCAGATTTTCAACCACAAGTAAGAATTAGTAAAGCCCACATACATTGTCAACTGGAAACTCCCCCCGTTTGTATCTTCTGAACCATGTGCTCTCTACCAATAATAATTTTTATTAATCAGAGGTCTGAGCTTAATATGAGTGACCACTTTGATGATGCATTCAGAGATGAGAAGACTCTCAAACTTGATGTAATAAATACATCTTTAATAGACACTTAAAAAAATAAAGTCAATTCATACGAATAGTTAAAAACATTACCTATAATCCTAATTTAAAATACAAATAAATCTGGTAAAAAGATCAAAATATGATAAAATGATAAAAATTGTGTAATGTATACTGACTAAATATTGTTTATCTATTTATATATATATAATTATTATTGCAAACACATGCCATCTATTTCTTTTCAGCCTCGGGAAAGAGGGCCATATTACCAGCTGAGGTGCGCAATGCATTGTGGGGCAGAAGCAGTACGTGAAGCAAGCACCGTTCCACACTCAAAATTCGAAGCTGATTGAGTATACATCTGGGCATTTCTCGCATTCACAGAATTCGCATACTGTACAGTGTGAATGCACTGCCTACTCAATTCAGAGGCGAGGTTAGTATGAGTAGTAGGAGTAGTTTGCCATTTCGGAGCATACTACGGTGCATTTGAAGCGTGCATGAGGTCATGACGGCGCGAACGGTGTCCCATTTGGCACGAGATGCTAAGAAATGCTAAGCGCGCTTGGCACTTTTTCAAGCGTGTATTTATGCACGCTTTCATGCCGTCTGTATCCCAGAATGCTTTGCGTGCCGCTGCACAGCTGCGCATTTCAGGTGAGAGGCTGGACTCGCTTGGAGGCACAGCGCGTCTTTAAAAAAATGCAAGAAATCCAAAAGACAGCAGACAGTCAGCTCAGGCTGTATGAGCGCATGATCTCTGAACTCACTAAAATCTGCAAACCAAACATTATAGATTTAGAGACAACTGATCTGCTCAGCTTCAACTATCAAAAACATTAGAAATAAGAAAGCTGACAAAACTACAGCAAAGGATCAGGACATCATTGAGTTTTTTTTTTCTTTTAAGATTTAGAGATTAAAGTTGTAAATTTAGGAGAATAAACTCATAAAGTTTATAAAGTCATAAAACTGCTTTTGTGGAGGGGGAAACGACTGAAGCTGGTCATCTGCAGGGTTATCTGTGGATGTATCAGCGGGTCATTCAGAGAGATTTTGTGGTTTCTGAAGAAACAATCAAACTGATGATGATCAACATTTGTGATCCAGAGGGAGTCGAGCTCCAACGAGCACCACGTCTCTGACACCGGCAGTAGCCTACACCTGCAGAGACACCAACACCTTATTATGGCACATGGATTCATATCATAAACTAAAGCTCAATGTCATTCACGGATATACACGCCTGCATGGACAGATATATCCGCAGCATATCCATTTCTGCCTCCACAAAAGCAGCGATTTCCTTCAAGTACACCAGTTTTTTTTTCCCCGTGGAAAAGACGTGTTTCTCATGTATTCTTTTTTTTAAGTCTTTATACTTATGACAATGTGATGCTGATGTGCCAGAGGATGAAGTTTCTCCTTGTTTGTGAAAACTATACTGAAGCACAGTTCCTTCAAATGCTTCATGGCCCTAATTTTAACAAGTCTCCTCTGAAATAACAGGTTATGTCTTCATTCTCATAAATTAATGACTTTATTCTCGTAAATTCACGACTTAAATCTCGAAGTCTCTAAAAAAATTCTCAATATGGCCCTCATACTCCTTCATACAAAACAATCATTGGATTAATATTGTGGGAATGAACTGTGCTTGTATGTATCTACCATTTTGTGTCTGTGCAAGGTCGAACAATTAAAACAATAAATGCTGCACTCCGTAGCTTTTTTTCTAGTCAGTCGCGACATAGGCCTGAGGGCGGGGACATTTGGAGACCTTCGAAGACTTCCTGGTGGAGTCGCCAAATGTCCCCGCCCTCAGGCTCGCGTCACGACTGACTTAAAGAAAACCCGCGGAGCGCAGTATACAAAAAGCACAAAATAGTAGATACATACAAGCACAATTCATCCAATGATTGTTTTGTATGAAGGAGTATGAGGGCAATATTGAGAATTTTCGAGACTTAAGTCGTGAATTTACGCGAATTAAGTCATTAATTTATGAGAATGAAGTCGTAACCTGTTATTTCAGAGGAGACTTGTTAAAATTAGGGCCATGAAGCATTTGAAGGAACTGTGCTTCAGTATAGGTTTCACAAACAAGGAGATACTTCATCCTCTGGCACATCAGCATCACATTGTCATAAGTATAAAGACATAAAAAAGAATATATGAGAAATATGTCTTTTCCACGGGGAAAAAACTGGTGTACTTGAAGGAAATCGCTGCTATTGTGGAGGCAGAAATGAATATGCTGAGGATATATCCGTTTATGCAGCCGTAAATATCTGTGAATGACATTGACCTTTAGTTTATGATATGAATCCATATGCCATAATAAGGTGTTGGTGTCTCTGCAGGTGTAGGTTACCGCCGGTGTCAGAGACGTGGTGCTCGTCAGAGCTCAACTCCCTCTGGATCACAAATGTTGATCATCATCAGTTTGATTTTTTCTTCAGAAACCACAAAATCTCTCTGAATGACCCGCTGATACATCCACAGATAACCCTGCAGATGACCAGCTTCAGTCATTTCCCCCTCCACAAAAGCAGCTTTATGACTTTATATACTTTATTTACTTTATTCTCCTAAATTTACAACGTTAATATCTAAATCTTAAAAGAAAAAAAAACTCAATGATGTCCTGATCCTTTGCTGTAGTTTTGTCAGCTTTCTTATTTCTAATGTTTTTGATAGTTGAAGCTGAGCGGATCAGTTGTCTCGAAATCTATAATGTTTGGTTTGCAGATTTTAGTGAGTTCAGAGATCATGCGCTCATATAGTCTGAGCTGACTGTCTGCTGTCTTTTGGATTTCTTGCATTTTTTCAAAGACGCACTGTGTCTCCAAGCGAGTCCAGCCTCTCACCTGAAATGCGCAGCTGTGCAGCGGCACGCAAAGCATTCTGGGATACAGACGGCACGAAAGCGTGCATATATGCACGCTTGAAAAAGGGGCAGGGGCAGTGTGGTTTTGAGACTGAATTTGAAGCGCGCTTAGCATTTTGTGCCAAACGGGACACCGTCCGTGCCACGTGATGACCTCACGCACGCTTCAAATGCGCCGTTCGACGGTTGCGGCCTCTGAAATGGGACATAGGAAGGGTACATAACGGCGCATAACGGCACATAACAGCACAAAACGGCAGTGTGCTCAGCTAATCGCGCTTATCCCGATGCGGTCTCTGAAATGAGACACAGCCTGTGGCTGTGGCTGTGTCCGAAATGGCATACTACTCCTACTACTCATACTAACCCCGCCCCCGAATTGAGTAGGCAGTGCGTTCACACTGCACAGTATGCAAATTTCGTGTATGCGAGAAATGCCCAGATGTATACTCAATCGGCTTCGATTTCTGAGTATGGAGCGGAGCTTACGTCACGTACTGCTTCTGCCCCACAATGCATTGCAGACTATTGCTGCGAGAAAACGAAATACAAAATGGAGACAGCCGGCAGCTGCTTCCAGCACTAGCAACAAAGCGCTCATAAAAGTAAGTTATTTAACTTTATATTGTGGCACGTAATCGCGCAGTTAACAGTTGTATTGACGTTTGAGTTTATGCACTGCTCAATGGCCAGTCAGCCTGCCAATTGGTTAGCACGTTAGCTTATGGTAGCCGCAACTAAACGGTAATGTTGACCCGTGATGTCGCATTATAAATACTGCTGTGTTTTCCTTCAGGGCCAGATGAGGACACAGAGCGGCTGATCCGGTGGCGGGGAAGGAACAAGGCCCTCTTCATGGGCAGAAGGAACGCTGCCCTAAAGGGTTTTCAGTAAGAAATTTTTGTTCATGCACCGTTGTGCCGTGGATTTATTTATTGTAAACACACGCTTCAGCTGGAGGCGACCGGAGCACAAACGTTGGCCATGTCGGCTTCTAGCTTTTTTGTTATCAGAGCAGCATTCTAAGAGCCGCAAACGCCCCCCACCACTCGACAGAACATAATACGAGTTTTGCTATGGGCCGCGCCCCATGGGTTGATTACAAGATGGGGAAAAAGCTACTGCCTAATGCAGTAATAATATGAATCTGGAGAACTTGAGGACACATTATGGTAACTCTGTACGTAAATCGTAAATGTGAACACTGTTCTGACAGTGGCTTGTAGGCACTTGCCACGTTCATATGCCCTTTTTATTGCCCCTTGTTTGTCATCCTTGTTTAGGGCTTTCATCAAGGAGCATGGGCTGGAGGGCCAGGTGGATCCAAGTTTTCCCCACCAAAAAAAGGGAAAACCTGAAGCAGAAATACAAGGTAGGTGGAGGTGTGACAAACACTTCAGTAATTATGTTTCGCACCAATACAGTGAATGCTTATGTTTTTAAGTTTTACTATATAATCTGACTATGTCAGAGTTCAAACAGTCAGTGTGAGAGGGACCTCTGTTATCAGATTATTTTTGTGTGAGTGTCATTTGCCAGGTTCTCAAGGCACCACCAACAGGGTCAGCACAGAGGGAGGAGAGGCCACTGCTGCAAACTGGAAATGGTTTAATATCATGGATGAGGTGATGAGGGACCGTCCCACCATATCACCGCCCAACTTTATCAGCTCACCTCATCAGAGTGGTTGAAAAAGTTTGAGGAGAGGGAGGATGAAAGGTTGCAGCAGGCAGAGGAGCGGGAACGTCGGGCAGAGGAGAGGGAGAGGCAGGAAAAGAGAGAGATGGAAGAAAGATGGGTAAGAAGAGAGCAAGAGTGGAGAGAAGAAGAAAGAAGGAACACAGACAGAAGAGAGTGGGAGTGGAGAGAGTGGATGGATAGAAGAGCAGTGGAAGAAAGGAGAGAGAGAGAATAGAGCAAGAGAAGAAAGGGGGATGGAGATGATTGAATGACTGTTTAATTCTAAATAATGTGTTCATTTGATTTTGATATTTATTTTATAGACCAAGTTTTAAGTTCACAAATTGTTGTATTATCTTGATCACTTATTCTTTGTAATGTTTCAGTTTGTTGCTTCATGGTTCTGTTAAAGTTATAAAATTAAAAGATTGTTCTTGTTCTTGTTCCGTGACTAATCTAAACATATTTGCACGGTACACAAAGGAATAGAGGCAGGAATGGCATAGTATTTATTTCAAAGCAGTTGTGTAATGACCCACATACCTATGATTAGTGTAAACATGCTTCTTTTGTGCAAAAATAGCTCCACATCCATCTTTCACATGCAACAGACCACTTCCTTACTATAGTTAGTTAAGTATAAAACTAACCCTAAGTATAACCATAAGTACCATAAGTATAATACTAAGTACAAGTATAATAGTATAATTACTATAATATTAGTATAACTATAAACAGTATAATAACTATAATAAAATAAGTATAATACTAACTATATACTATAATACTAACTATTTACAACTACATGAGGAGCCCCTGCGTGTAAGTGCTGTGCCCCCCTGCTAGCAGCTACCTATGGCTACAACTGCTCGCCTTCTTTCTGCACTTTTGTTTCCGTTTCACAGATACACACTTCAGTAATTCATGGCTCCACTCACCTCCCCGCCGGACTGTGTCCGCTGTTCCCGTCTCACTGCGAGGATCGCCGAACTAGAGGATCGAATATCCAATCTGTACATGATCCAAGAGGCCGAGCAGTTTTTGGACACCTTCATTCTTGGTTCAGTCCACACCGACCCCACCGCTGATTCTGTTCCTCCTCAGGTCACCGAGCCTGCTGCCCCCGCTGTTGGCCCTGCGGTTGTCGTGGACTCTCTGCCGGCTGAGGAGCCCAATAACTCCTGGATCCGCCTCGGGGCTAGACCTAAGTTGATCCCGGCCAGCTCTACCCCGTCTCATCAAGCTCCTTGGATCCGGATCGGAGATGGTACACGGGGAGGGAGGCGTTCCTCCCGTGTACCACCGAGCCGTGTCATCAAGCTGCAGAATAAATATGACGTCCTTCGTGACTTTCCATCATTCCTGGCTGAGGAGCTCCCAGCCCACTGTCATAATAATTCACCCCGTCTCTCCTCCAGCCAAACCCCAGCGCCCGACCCGCCGCTCATTGCCACAGTTCACACCAGCACCAAAAAGAGTGCCTGTCTCCTGCTCAGTCCACCCGTCTCCATCCCTGCCGCCATCACGAAAACATATCTCCCAGTCTAAGCTCCTGTTGGAACTGAGTCAGTCTCTTGAGGACAAAAAGTCACAAAATCACTCCTCTACTCCATCTTATGCTCCCCCTCCAGCTTTAGCCTCCACTGCGCTTGTTTCCAAACACCTGGTTCAGCCGCCTGCTCCAACTCCTCTTTTTTCTCCAACGGTGCTTATCATCGGGGACTCGCTGGTAAGGAATGTCCGTTTTTTCAATGCAATCACCCACTGTATTCCTGGTGCCACAACTGTCCATATCCTCGACCAACTTCCCAGCATCATAGCTTCCCTTCCACCATCCATCACTAAAATTATCGTTCATGTTGGCACATGTGACGTAACCCGGCGACAGTCTGAGTTCACCAAGGCTAATTTTATTGTCCTTTTTGATCTCCTCATTAGCAGTAGAAAGTCCATCTTTATCTCCGGCCCAACTCCCACTCTGGCCCGTGGGGATGAGCGTCTCAGCCGCCTCCGCTACCTTCACACCTGGCTGGAATCCATATGCAGCACTCACAAAATAAACTTCATCCATAACTTCAACTCCTTCTGGTCCCACTCCTCTGTATTTGCTCGCGACGGCCTCCACTTAAACAGGTCCGGTAGCCGCTGGCTGGCGGCTAACATACAACAAGCTGTGGCGTCTCACCACCTGTCTCCCAGTGTGTGACTAGCTCCTTCCTCGTCATCGTCATTGCCATCATAGACATAATAAAAGATAGACCCCGCATCGGCCGCTACCACGAATGGGCGCTGTCGAGAAATGCGGCCGCCATCTTGGTCCGGTCATCAGCCTTACTCTGCACCACTGTTTAACCGGCGGAATGAAGTCTGAGCGCATTAAATGAATCATAGTTCGCTCAATACTACGTAATTTTCTTCTCTGCAAACGCCATTCAAAGAGGCATGATAGAGGCCGTATTTTTTTTGGCGTTTTCAAATACTCAGAATGAATAAAATGATATTTTAGAACATGGCAGCAGTGGCAGTGTTGTGTCTGGGCTGTCCTCGATGTGTAGATGCAGAAGGAGGCTTCGTGACACTGGCTTGCTTGTATAAGAGGAGTTTATTATAAAGACAAAACCAGTATCAATACAGCACTGCAGTTGCTGGGAGAGGACTGCCAATGATGTCCAGCTCTCCCCAACCAGAGTTTGTGACCCTGTTATATACAGTTAGGGATGTAAGCCCTCCTACATTCCTTCTTTGTCCCCAAGATATCTTTCCTTACCATTTGGTGTTTGGTTAACCTATAGTGGTGTTTTATGACCTGTGCCCTGTGACCTGTGAAGTGCCCCAGGTGTCACTAATGATAAACCCAGGAAAACACAAACCCACATTCCACAATTGGTCCTCAGGCTATTCCTGAAAAATACCTTAAGGCAATGCATATTGATGTAGTACTCCAGATACCACATATTTCCCCCCTTCGAGACTCCATAGAGTCTCGAAAAAGGCAAAGAAATGTTACAATTTGTATTTACTATTAAAATTTGGAGTGTGAGAGCGAAAACCTGTCAGGCAGCTATCGTTTCATTAGTATCCATCAGACAATCTAGACAGGAAAAAGTCACTCACGGTCCCTCTGCCCTAGGCGACCACCTATTGTACTCCAATCCAATTGAAAGTTAAGGGTTAGACTTTATGTGGAAATAATGTTTGGCTCAAATATTCTTGGGAATCTCAGAAATAAAATTAAAAAAATCCACAGTCAAGCTGGTCTTCCCATCGGACCTTCCGGTGGATCTATCCCTGCCTAACATTACTGATCCTACAACGAGAAAACAAAGAAAACACCTGAGATCCCAATACATTCACTTTACAACTTAGGCTATGCATCACTAACCCCCCTTTCATACTTTCCATTCTTCCTATGCTGTTTGGTATTTGCCTGAACATTAAAATACAACACAGAGAGATAAATTGACATTCAATCCCAGATTATACATTAACAAACTCTATGATTAAAATGAATAATCATTTTTGTTCCTTAACATCCTTGGCTGCTTGTGTAGTGTTCTTGTCCATGGGTGTTTCCTCCGTTTATGTATCCAATGCAATGTCCTTGTTCACATCCTCTGTCAGGTTTCAGTTGTGTTTACATTGTCCATGTTTGGTTGTCTTGTTGGGAGGTGTGGGTCCATTAAGGCTGTTTAGATCTCTGGAGAACCACCTTTCTTTCGCTGGTTTTCCCAACTGCTGTCCTGAGAATGAAAAAATTAAGCAGTATCTTGCCAAAAACATACATTTTTGTTTGTTTGACATGTTTATCCTATTTCCCCCTAAGTAATACCTCCCCTTTACATCATCAAAATGTAAATCTGTGTGCCGGCCAATCTTACCCAAAGGGTTTCTCATCACCCCATTCATTTTTTTTTTTTCACAGATACCTTGGCTTTGCGGATGGTACAGAGCTCTTAAACATTGTTCAATTCTTAGTTTTTCAAATCGATTTCACTGTTTTATCCACACACTCTTCTCCATTATCTTCGAATATTTACTCTGAAAGTCCCCATCTGCTTATGACCTCCCTACACAAAAACTTGGCAACATACTGAGCATCTTTTCGCTTGGTTAGACAAGCTTCAACTGTTACACCTTCGAACATTACTTTTTAGACACATTGTACATCTACTTATGACATAATCAAAAATTTGTGGTGTCCAAAAACCTATTCCTTTATGATGTTTCTTGTAACTTCCCCCCTTGCATCATTGCTAACCCTTGCCTCCTGAATCGTTCTTTTCCACAAATAATCAATGTCCTTGACAAGAACCATCTTTTACTTACTTACCAAAAACTTTCTTACTTTCTCCCTTCACTCACCCTCTGATAGAGCTTTCTTCTACTCAATAACAGTCAAGTGCATAATGTCCTAGTTGTCCACACCTATGACATGCTTCTGAAAATGCCTGGAAGTTTGGGTTGAAGTTTCTGTCTTCACCGCTTCCACTCCATGTCTGCCACTGACTGAAGGCTGGTTGTGCATATGAACCTAAAGGAGCTACTGGCATCAGCTGGGGTGGTCGGTCCTGCATATGTTCCTGTTGCAGTTGCATTTTTGCCTGCTCTGATTGAGATTGACTCTGCATAACCACAGCTTGTTTCTTCTTCTTGTTTTTGCTATCTCCCAAATGTATATGGTTAAGTTGTCTCAGGATCTCTTGATCATGCTCTCTTTGCTTGTTCTCTTTCTTCCTGTACAACTCCACTTGATGTGCTATATGGTCTGTGTATATCCCTTTTGTCATACTACCAAGACCAACCACCTCTTCTAATTTATTTCTCACTGGCTGGGGCAACCCTTTTTGTATTTTGGCTCGCAGAATAGATTGCTCCATTTGGTGCATGTCTGGATCGTTTCCTGTAATATTTCTCCAAATTTGATGAGCCTTTGATACATAGGCTCTTGGATTCTCTTGTGGTCCTAGTGGTTCAATTATAATGTTATCTGGATGTACATTTGTTGGAAATACATCTTTCAATGATCTCCACATCCGAGCTCTACATGCAGCAAACAGTTCTGGGTCATTTACCGCAGTCCCTGCATACCGGTTAAGCCCTGCTCTCTGCAAGATCTCTTCCATAGCTGGGACCCCTAAAATGCTGGCTAGGAGTCTCTTGATGTCTCCCATAGCAGGCTGCCATCCCACCATAATTTCCTCTAACTTGGAAATCCAAGGGTGAGCTCCTTCCTGAAGAGTAGGTAACTTTTCAAGAATGTCTGACATGTCTGTATTTTGCAGAGGCTTGTACTCCAAATTCTGTCCCCGAACAATGACTGGACACATTTTCCCAGATGGCTTATCCCCTTTTCTTGGGCGTAAGGAATACCCTGAAGTGGATGGCTTTTCACTTCCTTTTTTCTTCAGGTCATTCTTTATTATTTGTAGCTCTTCTAATTCTTCCCTCACTTCTCTATGTTTTTCAGGACTGGTAGCACTACTTAGGTTGCCATAGCATTTATCGATGCGTTTCTCAATCCTTCTCAAAGCCTTGTGCCTCTCCTCAGCTTCAGTCCTTGGTGTTGACCAAAGGGAATATGAAGACTCTTCACTGTCTGATTCTTCATCCCTATCATTATCTTCACTCTCCTCTGAGGTGTCTTTTACTGGCTCTTTTTTCCTCAGCGATTTTCCTCCTCTTTTCTCTGCTCTGGCTAATATGTTTCTGACTGCTGGGTCGTAGCCTCCAATAGCCTCTTCTGAATCACTCTGACTATCCTCTCCCATTTCTATTTTTCTATATTTTTGTTCACCCCTAGCTGCTGGATGGCCTGTTTTCTTTTTACTCTTACTGCTTGGGTACATTTTTATAGTTGTTTTAGCTGTTCCTGTCTCTATCATCTGCTCCTCCTCATCTTTGATGTGATACACGCCCTCCTGTTTAATCACGGGGAGCTGAGGATAGACATCAGTGTATCTTATCTCTTTCTCATACGGTGGGGGGCTCTTCACTGGGGTTGTGTGTGAGAAAGGTTTATTCACTTCTGCCATCAATTTTTCTGTTGATTTAACATTTTTGTTTATTTCTTCTACAATCCTGTCTTTTCTCTCCTTATCGGCTTTTAGCATTTTCTGCCCCTCCTGCTCAAACAAGTGCAAAATGTTAAGCTCCCTCTGTCTCTTTTCTTGCCGTTTCTTTCCCTTCTTTCCTTTCTTTTGCTCTGCCTTATAGGTGGACACTAGCACGTGCATTGTTGTAACCACTTCAGGATTAAGGGTACCTTCCACTCGCCAAGGCTGGTCAATGTCAGGCCACCTCTTACTCCATTTCTTAGACAGTTTTTCAATACCCATAACAAGTGGATTACTCTTTATTACTACATCAACTGGAGTGATACATTTCACACCTTTAACGTCCATCTTTGGCATTGTGCTACTGCCTTTAAATGTCTTCACAGGAACCAAAAGCACTAACAGATGACCAAACACGTTATTCACAGCGCCGTTTAGCTAATTTACCTTAAACCAAGACAAGCCAAAGAAATCTGCCAGCCCCAGAGACTTAAAACTTATCAACCCCCAAAAAAGATCAATTTGTGTGATTTTATCAAGCAGCAATGACAAATCACATCCACACGCTGTAGCAAAATTTTAGACCTCTTGGAAATGCTCTTTTAATTCAACAATACTACAGTACTTAATTAGCCCTTTAAACTGGTCAGTCTGTTGCCAAGCCTTCCTTTTTACCAACAAAACTACTGCTCTTATTGTCTATCATTACCAAATGTATACACCCAACTACCTGTGTTCCCACTATAAATGTGTGTATGTACAACTAAGTAGCAGCAGATGCATCGGAGAAGAGTTTGTAGATAAAACTGTACTGGCCTGTCAAATGGGAGCAGGTCCTGGTGAGCCTCTCATCCGCAAGCCCCCTCTTGTTGCAGCACAGCCAATTATCTCCTTATCTGTTTTATGGGTGCTCCAACGTCAGATGCCTTTCATTCTTCTCTCCCCTCTCATGCATCAGAGAAAGGGACAAGCACAAATCAAATGTTTAGTATATCACAATCACTTCATTCAATACAATTTAAAATGTTTACTACCATTATTTAAAGATTTCTTCTACTATCAGACTACCTAAATTTATTATACATCATTCCCCTTTACCATGGTATACCATTTAAAATTTTCACACATCTAAAATAGTTAAACTGGATTTTTTAGCTTTCTTTCTGTTCTCAGGCCTGTAAGAAGAGAAAGAAAGGGGGAGGAAAAGCTCCCTGGATTCTCCTAATTTTTAACTAGGACTTCCCTCTAAACATAATCATCAGCAAGTGACCCTTCACTTTAAATATTCACACACACACACACAGCGGAAAACCACACCCATCAGTTAGCAAATCGCTCCTATCTTTTACTCTGTTTTTTTCCTGTATCTGTATGAACACAAATGTGCTTGCTGGTTTTTACACTTCTTTAATTGCAATATTAGTTAAGGATGTTATCACCATCCAAAGTCCTCCTCATCTAATAAGGGGCTCATTTCTTATTATTAGGTGTACTAACGTCCTCTTTATCCTGAGAGGCTCATAGCAGTTACTTGTTCTATTTATGTCCCTGTACAAAGGAAACCAGGGCTCATATGTTTTTTAACACTACAAAGACAACAGTATCTCTTCCCTTATATGTTAATTTCTTATATCATATCATTATATATTTAATAAGACATCATTTATCACTTTATCATGAGTTAATCACTTATATTTATGCTAGACACTTCCCCAACTTTGTGCACATGCCACTCACTGCACACAGACTCTTTTGCACTCACACTCACAGCAGCACCCATACACACACTCCTCACACACACACCAGAAGCTTCTCTCACACACGGAAATTCCAACACACCTCTCCTCACAGAGCTCAATGTTTCCTTACTATAGTTTATAGGCCTTTTTTTCTTCTTTAAACTGTCCTTACCGGTTTGTATGCCCAATCACGACTTCCCTAACATTAAGTTAACTTATTTTTTTTTCTTTAAACTGTCCTTACCGGTTTGTATGCCCAATCACGACGTCCCTAACATTAAGTTAACTTTTTCTCTTTTTCGGCCATCTCAGCCTAGGCCATCTCAGCCTTTTTCTCTTTTTCGGCCATCTCAGCCCTGGCTATCTCAGCCTGTTTGTCTTTTTCGGCCATCTCAGCCTAGGCTATCTCAGCCTGTTTCTCTTTTTCGGCCATCTCAGCCTAGGCTATCTCAGCCTGTTTCTCTTTTTCGGCCATCTCAGCCTAGGCTATCTCAGCCTGTTTCTCTTTTTCGGCCATCTCAGCCTAGGCTATCTCAGCCTGTTTCTCTTTTCACCCTTTATCTCTTTTTATCATTTATTTGCCAATTACCCTGGGCTCCGGGTTTTACTCCTCACTTTTTCTTTCCCCGCCCCGAATTCGACTATCCTTTTGGAGCTAGACGTTCACATTAGTCACTAATTTACACATTGTCTTACCGTTAGGAGGTAAGGGCCCCTCTTCGTTAATCTTGCAAGGTTATTTAGCACACTCCCATTACTAGTCTCTGCTATTCTATTTTTGGCATCTCTTTTTCGTCTATTTTAACCTCTTCTCTACAACTTCTTTTCTTTTCTATTCTACCCAAATTTAGATGAAGCCTCTCTTCAACAGCACATCACAGCATTTCCACACAAGTACTTTTACACAGTACAGCCTAACAGCTGAACACAACAGCTCCAACAACTAAACCAGCAGCACTTTATGTGAGTCAAACACTCACCTGGCGCCAATGTGGTGCAGGAATAGATGCGTTGAAGCTGCCGTGATCCTCTGGAGGCCGTAGCTGATCCTGTTCGTGACGCCAATTTGTTGTGTCTGGGCTGTCCTCGATGTGTAGATGCAGAAGGAGGCTTCGTGACACTGGCTTGCTTGTATAAGAGGAGTTTATTATAAAGACAAAACCAGTATCAATACAGCACTGCAGTTGCTGGGAGAGGACTGCCAATGATGTCCAGCTCTCCCCAACCAGAGTTTGTGACCCTGTTATATACAGTTAGGGATGTAAGCCCTCCTACATTCCTTCTTTGTCCCCAAGATATCTTTCCTTACCATTTGGTGTTTGGTTAACCTATAGTGGTGTTTTATGACCTGTGCCCTGTGACCTGTGAAGTGCCCCAGGTGTCACTAATGATAAACCCAGGAAAACACAAACCCACATTCCACAATTGGTCCTCAGGCTATTCCTGAAAAATACCTTAAGGCAATGCATATTGATGTAGTACTCCAGATACCACAGCAGTATTATAGTATAACAATTAATCAAGGATATATCTAGGTTTAGAGCTAGGTTCCTGCTATGTCTCAATAATTATTAATAACTGGCGGTTTTAATAGGCCAATTCAATATATATTGATTTGATTATATTTTATTTAGTTTAATTTTATTTATCCATTTGTAGACACACACAAATAATGTCATATAGAAGCACTATTTTAATAACTGGAAAATACACACAAAGAAATATACACAAATATATAGCCTACATATCAAAACAATTTAAACACAAGAACAGCATGACAGGACAGCATCTAAGCTACATATCAATTTGCTTGTTGGCTACACAGCACAGAGGAATCACTTGCTGCGAATTTCTCCCTCTAACAGCAATCTCCTCAAGTTTTTGTCCTTAGGAAATCTTCAAAATGAAACAGGAGATCACCACAAAGAAATCTTTAATAAAACAGATAATAAAACAGACCTCACTTTCTTCCTTCTTCTTTCTATTTTATTTCTTAACGTTTCTTAGAACCTCTCTCAAACAAAAGTTTTTCAATCTAGTGCAAATCTGTTGATAACAGAGCAAAGTTGCTATTATTGTGAATAAGCTAGCTGTTCGCAAATGCTGTTTCCTTTTTGGAGTTGACCGATAGTCTTCCTCTTTGGCCTACAAATGACTCTACAGTCAAGTGTAATGTTGAAAAAACGTTTAATCATAACTGTGAAAAGCTATTCCTTGAGCCCTGTTCTCTGCTGTCCGCCTGTTGGCACAGGAATACGCCGCACAGTGCTCCGGCATCGCTGAATGAATGAATGAATGAATATGATTGACCGGAGCGCATGGGAGGCTTGACCTGACCAAGATGGCGGCCGCATTTCTCGCTGCGCAGCACCCCCAGCGGGGTCTACCCTTTATTATGTCTATGATTGCCATCACCTGCGGACCTCCCCATGCTCTGCTGTACACTGACAATAGTCAAGCGCCATCAATTCCTCCCTCTAGCTCCCTCTATCGGTCTTTTCCGCAATTACCCACTTTAGGCTGCAAAGAAACTAAAAGCACTAGTCGCCCCAAACTGAGCAACCATAGAGGTGGCCTTTCACATAATTTGCTACGGCCTCTCAAACATGCAGCGCCATCAGCTGACGTAGAGTCCACTTTAGATATTGCCTTATTAAATATTAGGTCACTGGCAAACAAAACATTTACATTGAATTACTTTTTCACCACACGGAACCTGGATTTTATGCTCTTGACAGAGACTTGGCTCAAGGATGGTGATGGCACTCCATTCTCTGAGCTTCTTCCCCCTGACTGTCTGTTCTTTAGCTCCCGTCGGAGCTCTGGTAGAGGTGGAGGTCTTGCCTCCGTGTTTAAATCCAGTTTTAAGTGTCGTCAGCCTCCTTCAGATACATTCTCCAGCTTTGAACTGCAGTTGTTTGAGTTACACCTATCCTCCCCCGTTTTGTTTGTGGTCATTTACCGCCCTCCCAAATTCAACAAGGAGTTTATTAGTGACTTTGCAGAATTTCTGTCAGGAGTCTCTGTAAATTATGACAATCTTTTAATTTGTGTTGATTTCAATATCCATGTTTGTTGTGAATCAAGAACCCTCTATCCAATGATTTTTTAAATCTCCTTGTAGCTTTTAACCTCGTTCAGTCTGTCAAAGGCCCGACTCACGAGAAAGGTCATACTCTAGATCTGGTGTTATCGCGTAGCATATCTGTGTGTAGCAACGAAATATGTGAGACAGCCTGTATCTCTGACCATCTGCCTGTGCTATTCACTGTATCCATCCCATGCCCACATGTTAATACCTGTACTGCCCCGTGCCATCTGCGCACAATCAGCCGCCAGACTGCATCGCAGTTCTCAGCCTTATATCATTCTGAAACATCTGGGCTGATGTTTAACATGCTGAATGACAGTGTCACTCCCTGCGCTGATGAGCTTTTAACCCTTTTTAATGCTACCTGCACGACTATCTTGGACAATGTTGACCCTTTTAGACTAAAACGCACCAAGACACTTTCTGAACCGTGGCTAAATGACTCCACGCACTCTCAGACGTGCATGCCGGTGCGCCGAGAGAAAGTGGAAGAAAGACAAGCTCCATGTCTCTAAACAAGCCCTCCATGATAGTCTGTGTGCCTATCAGAGTGCTGTTTGGACAGCTAAAATGGGATATTTCTCGAATCTTGTCTCCACAAATTGTTGCAAGCCCCAAGTTCTTTTTAATATTTTCAACTCTCTTGTCAATCCATGTGATAACACCCCTATTGACTCATCGCCGACTGTTTGTGAAAAATTTTTGAAACATTTTATTGATAAAATTTCTGCTCTCAGGCCACCTACCTACACTCCTGCTGAAGTTTAATCTTGGTTGGCGGAAAACTTCCTACATCTGAATGAAACCAAAACGGAGGCTATATTATTTGGCTGTAACCCATCTGACTTCCCAGCCAATTATCTAGGCCCTCTCATACAGAATGTCTGTGCATTGGTAAAGAACCTTGGCGTGACCTTATACAGTAATTTTAAACTCGACAAGCAAGTCAACTCTGTGGTCAAAAATAGCTTTTATCAACTGAGAACTCTGTCTAAGCCAGGGTTACCTCTCTCGAAGAGACTTAGAGACAGTTATACATGCTTTTATCAATTCCAGATTAGATTACTGCAACTCCCTGTATGTTGGCTTGGATCAAAACCTGCACCATCGACTTCAGCTGGAGCAAAATGCAGCTGCCCGCCTCCTTACTCGGAAACGTAAAAGAGAACATATAACCCCTGTGCTCGCTTCTCTCCACTGGCTCCCAGTCTCTTTTAGAATAAATTTTAAGATTTTATTGTTTGTTTTTAAAGCTCTTAATGGACTGGCCCCCGGGTATTTGTCTGAGCTCTTACACATTCATGCCCCCGCTAGAGCACTGAGATCTGCCAATCAGCGGCTATTAGTCGTCCCGAAGACTCGCCTAAAGAGTAAAGGTGACTGAGCCTTTGGGTCAGCTGCTCCTAGGCTCTGGAACAGCCTGCCTCAGCACATCTGTTCAGCTGAGTCGATAGAGGTTTTTTAATCCTCTTTAAAAACACACTTTTTCTCCCTAGCTTTTACCTAGCTCTTGATTGGTATTTTATATTTGTTTTTTATCTACTTACGTATTTTATATTTGTTTTTATTTATGGTGTATTTGTAACTCAATTTTACGTTGCTGTATTTTAATCTTGTATTCTGTGTTTTTGATCATATTGTTTACTGTCTGTTTTATGTATTTTGCTGTGCCTTATTGACCTGTACAGCACCTTGGTCAGCTTGGGTTGTTTTTAAAGTTCTCTATAAATAAAATTTGAGTTGAGCTGAGTTGAGTACACTATAACTAACAATAACATTAACTATTCACAATGACTATTATTACAACGCTCATTAATAATCATGCGCCCTCAGAGCAGGGATCTGCTCCTCAGGAACTGATATTGCTGCTGCCATCCGATCCCTGAAGGCGTCACCAGTCTGTTGGGCCAGGTCATGAGCTGCCAGACAGTTATCATCCCCATCAACCTCTTCACCGTCCTCTGGCTCCAAAATGTCCCTGTGCCCGAGGCAGAGGTTGTGGAGGAAAAGGCAGTCTACAATGACCTCCGAAACAAAGTCAACTTCACCTCCAGGGCCTTAAGAAATATGGAACGCTACCTGGTTTTCAGTACTCCAAATGCCCTCTCCACCACACTCCTGGCCCGAGAATGCCTGGCATTGAACCTCTCTTGGGTGGGATTCCTCAAAGGCTCCCTGAATGGGCTGATAAGTGTGAGTGGTTCTGGAATGCAGGGATAATCCCCATCCCCTAATAGGCACCATCCTGGAGGAGGGTACAGCTGGTGCACGTACACAGGGCTGCACCCGAGGACCCGCAAATCGTGCACGGAGCCAGGGAAACTGACGTGCACATCCAGGAAGCGTCCTTTGTGGACCACAATGGCCTGAAACTGGATAGAGTGGAACAGTTTTCTGTTAAAAAAGTCTGCTCCAAACTGTTCAGGGGGCACAATACGGACATGACATCCGTCGATGCTTCCTGCCACTTTGCAGAAAGCTGGGTGACCAGCCAACTGCTGGAACCCAGCCCCAATTTCCTCCAACTCAGCCCTGTTGGGCAAATGCAAGAATCTTCGGAAAACTTGGTGGATGTCGCTGCTGACACTGTGGACCATATCGTGGCACGTCGAACGAGGGATGTCGAAGGCCTCTGACACAACTCGATATGATGTGCCACAGGCAAGCCAGTAAACAAAATCAAGCACCTCGAGTGCCTTCCCCCATCCATGGTAATGGTCCCCTTGGAGAAGGTGGATGAGGTGCTCCAGGGAGGGCCTGGTCAGCCTGAAGTCCTTCCACAGGTCACCCCCCTCAAAGTACAGGCGTACCAGAGGGACATGATGATTAATCTGGCGATATGGCCCTCTTTCCCGAGGCTGAAAAACATTGGTGGCATGTTATTGCAATAATAATATATTTTTTAATCTTTTTACCAGATTTATTTGTATTTTAAATTAGGATTGTAGGTAATGTTTTCAACTATTCGTATGAATTGACTTTATTTAAGTGTCTATTAAAGATGTATTTATTACAACAACTTTGAGCATCTTCTCATCTCTGAATGCATCATCAAAGTGGTCACTCATATTAAGCACAGACCTCTGATTAATAAAAATTATTATTGGTAGAGAGCACATGGTTCAGAATATACAAACGGGGTAGTTTCCATTTAACAATGTATATGTGAGCTTTACTGATTCTTACTTGTGGTTGAAAATCCATCAGGAAGTACATAGCTGCCCTGAAGAAAAGACGCCTTCATCTCCTTGCATGGCGGCGATCCATGGTTTTCAGCCTACACCAGGCAGAACTACCCGTTGGTTTCTGAAATTATCATTTTACATGAGAAGAATGTAGTCGGGAACTAATGTATTTGCCAAGGAATAACCGAACAAGGTCATAATTATGTTGTGTGTTGGTCATTTTGCAGCCCTATGCTGCTCATCACACGCCCAGCAAGTGGTGTATAGCATTATCACCATGGATACACAGGTGTTTGCTTAATTTTTATTAATCCACTGCCGCTTAGTTTGTGTCGTGTCGCTGTTGATTATGAAAACACCTCAATAATTTGGAAACGTGAAGGGGGAGCTGCTGTTTACGGCATGTAGACGCAAACCAGGGCCGTATTACGGACCGGGCCAGTGGGGCCAGCACCCAAGTGTCCGGAGGGGGGGGGGGGGGCGCAAAGCAATGTAGATGCCGATGCCAATTGCAATGTCAGAGGGTCTCTATTCTCTAGGGTCTTATGACTGCTCACACTGCTAGAGGGCATATCTGGCCCCCTTAAAGGGACTTAATTTACGTGTGCAACCGCACATACTTGCAACAGAACGATCAGAGCACTATGCACGATACTCGTAGTGTTGCCAAAAACAAATCACCAAAAGTCGCTATTGGTTCTCTGAAAAGTCGCTAGATTACGTCATGACGTTACTTTGATGTCATAACATCAGACACGACTCACTGAGCTCAAGAAAATGTGTCTACATGGCTAAAAAAGCCGCTAAGTCGCTAGATGAGGTTTTAGTTGCCAGAGACGGCCAAAAGTCGCTAAATTGGCAACATTGGGTACTGGTGGTATCATGTAGGGGGCAGATAGCCAACCGGGCTCTCATTAATATTTTCCACCACTGTTTGACTCTACCACGAGCTCAACATGGAAGTTTGGACGATTGCCCCTCGCTATCAATACTGCAACATGTGCACATGTCTGCATACCTTGTGTTCAGGTGTGCTATTACGCGTAACATGGACATAAAATATGCATGGCAACGCATTCAGGCATGAAATGTGCACACGGCAAGCATATCCTGAGAATATCGCTGGCCCCAGTAGACAGCTAGTAGAAGCTGGACCTATTTTCTATGAGAAGTGATTTTGCTCCCGCACAGTATTGTGTGTACACAATACGACATGGTCCTTGGAGTGCATCGAAACTGTCATTGCGACACGTCCAAAAGTTCAGAATTTATCGCGCGTCGCAACCATATCGTAAAGTGAGTGTGCAATAGCCGAGCTAGACTCAGGGGCAGGCTGTACAGTGGTCCAGTCACAATACACTGCAGATTCACGTGTCATTATAACCTATAGTTGCCTCGAGGGGAGTAGTAGACTGGTAGATATTCACCTTCAGAACACTGAGTTTCGCCCCGCTTCACTTTGCAGATTTCGCTTCCTTATGTCCCCACCTTAAAGGGGTGTACTGTAAACACCAATGCCAACCAAGTGAAGTCTAAGTGAAAATCCAATATCAATACAACACTCCCACATTACACTTGGCATTGCTTTTATCAAAACTCCTCACATGGCAGAAATTTTGATAGTTTAAGTGAAAATCCAATATTGTTAAGTCCATTTATCAAAACTCCTAACAACATTCTTACATTAAAACCTTTCCTAGACTATCAGATTTAGCATCCAACACCCTATTAAAAAGCTAATTTACATTGTATTGTATTGTAATAATAGTGTACCTTAACTCGACTTAAAGCCATTGTAAGGGCTATTGTAACAAATCTGGAAGTCTAAGTGGAACGAGAAAATTTGCATTTCCTTGCAGAAAATGCGTGGAAATGCTGAGTGCTGAAACCTGAAAAAGCAATGCTAAACTGCTAATAGAACACTGAGAAAGATATTAATGTTAAAGCTGTTGAAGGGGTGAAAAAGAAGTATAAGTTGAATAATTGTGAAAATGGTTGAAGGACAAACAGTATGAATATGCTCCATGAATTGAAATTTTATTCATGCTGAAAGAGGCCAGTGAAAAAGAAATATAAGTTGAATAATTGTGAAAATGGTTGAAGGACAAACAGTATGAATATGCTCCATGAATTGAAATTTTATTCATGCTGAAAGAGGCCAGAAAAATGACTGAAATTGCACAAAGTTTGAATGAAGAAGTAAATTACCTTAAAAGGCAGGAAGGTGAGAAGTGGCATAAGTTTTATTTGTTGTTCTAGTGGTAGCATGATAAGTAGTCATAGTAGTGATATTAGTAGTCATGTAGTGATATTAGTAGTCATGTAAGCAGTAGAAATAGTTGGAAAATAGGAGAAGTCAAAGTAGTAGAGCTAGTGGTAGAAATAGCAGTAGAGAAAGTAGAAATAGTAGCAATAGTAGTTGAAATAGAAGTCAAAGTACTGGTTTAATTGATATTAGCAGGAGTTGTAGTAGAAGAAGTGGGATTTTGTTTAAGGGGTGAATAATGCCTAAATACTAAAACTATTTTAAACAGGGAAAAGTTTGATAATTAAAAATCCTCAAGTATTAGAAATTTTTTAAGTATCAGAAAGGTTTGAATAAGTTTTTGTTCAAATAATTGAGAAATGCATTATTATGCATTATATATTATATATTATTACACAATTGAGAGAGGCATTGAACAATATTTCCAAAGACTCACAGGAGAAACGTGAAACTAGAAGCGAGGCCTCTGCACTCTGTGGCAAGCTGGACACCCTAAAGATAGCTTTCATGGCACACTTTTGGGATACAATAGTACAGCAGTTCCGAGCCACGAGCCTGCAGTTGCAGAAACATGACATTGACATACACACGGCTACACAGCTTCTCCTTTCACTTTGTGACTTTGTGGCAGCACAGAGAGACAATTTTGCCTTTTTTGAAGGGTCAGCTTTAACTGTTACCGACTCAGTCTCCCAAGACTACAGACATGACCTCCAGCGCACAAAGAAGTGCAGAACCAGGTGTTGAATTTAGTGGAAAAGAACAATTTCAGATTGAAACGTTCAGTGTTCTATTTGACAAACTTGTGTCCTGTCTTAACCATCGGTTAACTTCATACACACACTTGACCAATCCTTTTCATGTTCTTTTCATGCCTGATAATATGTCCAACAGTGAGCTCACTTTAAGGGCAGAATCTCTTGCTGCAGTATATCTGTTAGAATAATGTGCATAAATGTATATAGAAGTTATCATTATTCCTCATATTCTTATGTAAGAGTTGACTACAAGTATAAACTGTTTTGACCTCTTTTTATACATCATGTAAGAGTATTTTTATCATATAAGAGTGTTTCCTAACTTCTCTCTCAAATAGATTTACTACACAGCACAACAATGTTTCTTTCAGTTTTCTGTGACCGTGTTTTTCCCTATCAGCAGGTGTGGGTGTGGGGGTGACGTATCCTCCGCGGATGAATCGTGGGAAGGTTTTGGGGAGGATATTCTTATCAGAAGGAGCTCGTTAGATGCCGCCTTGACCTTCACATATTCACAAGTTGTTCATTATTATGCTTTATGAGAGTGCTTACTTTGCTGCACAATTTTCCCCCACCCTTTAGAAACATTGTGTAACCAGGGACAACCCTAAGTAAAAGAGGCCGGACAGAAAAAGAACCCTTAGAGTGGTATTGAGATAGCTAAAAAAAAGATCTCTGTCCATTCTCCTCGAGTATATACCATTATCTTTCTCCTTTTTATATGTTTTCAGGTATTTGGGCAGGTTTTTAGACCCAACAATATCCCACTGATCTGACCATGAGCTTGGCAGATGAACTTGTTCAGTACAAATCATTCATTTCAGAAGAACAAAAATGCTTTCCGAAAAGCACTCAGACTGTTTTTGACCCTGCCAATAACAAACTGTGAAGGGTAACGGTCATTCTCCAGACTGGCATGAATAAAAAATGAGCTCAGGATGAGAATGTGCCAAAATGGGTTGAATTCACTCTCCCTTCTTGCAATAGAATCAGAGTTCGTTCGACAGCTCAACTTTGATGAGTTAGTGGACGACTTTGCAAGAAGGAAGGGGTGGGGGGGTGGGGGGGTGGGGGGTGCTTTGCAAACTCCCGGCCCCGGGGCCCAGACCCCCCATAATCCGGCCCTGACGCAAACACCCACCAAGCGGATGCTTCGGTCTCCGAAAACACAGAGACAAATTTGCAAACAGCCTCTATTTCAAACAACTGGGCTCATAATCGTGATGTAAATACATACTTTCTCGCTTGAAAAAATGTTTTGACTGACTGAATTTATACAGTTTGTCCGAAATGCAGTCGTTTTTGAAGCTTGCGGTAGGACTATTTAAATTTTCCCGGCGCTGCTTCTGGCTGGCACGAAATGCATTCTGGGGTATTTAGTATGTATGTGTGTAAACGCTCGGTCAGCTGCGGCATACTCAAATCATCTTTGAGTATGCAGTATGCAGTATGTACTGCTTGAGTAGTTAAGTAGACAGTAGGCAGTATGCCATTTCGGACACAGCCTGAGGTTTGCCTCGAGAGATACTGTACCCCTAAAAAAAACTTTGCAACAACATACACAAAATTCAACATCAAGGCATGCTGCTGCAGTGTTCTAGCTGTGAGCTGCACAGAAGCAAGCTAACAGCATACAGTAGAGGTGCTCCTCAACAAATAAGAATAAACATATTCTCATTTATTGAGATACTTGAAAACATTGTGCAACAGAAGCCTGCAGATGACTTAGAAATTAGAATATTCTTAGTCCACTGCAGATAAAATGTGGAGAGTCCACGTCTCCATGCTATAAGTGAGTGAGTAAAAGGACCACAGGTACAGTCACAGGTTAACACGGACAGAGACTGCAGTGATTCTGTCTCTGTGCCATGTATTTTTAAAGGATCTCTATGACCATTTTGTCTGTTTCTCACTGCGTTCATGGCCCTTTATTTGCAAAATATCCCAAATCCATCGATCAGTGATGAAAACAATGAGGGGTATAAAGTCTGCTATAACGGATAGCCGCGATCTGCGGTTTGATTTCATTCACGTTGACTGGGATCAGTACGAGTGGTGACAGCGGACGCTTTTCCACATTAAAGGAGGAAATATTTGTAATATATCTCTGTTAACACCAAGTGTTTCGTTTCTACTTCTTTAAAGCGTGGCTCATAATTGTGGAGACGTCTACAGACACATTAAATAAAACCAACAAGCAAGGTGTATAGGCTGTCACGAGATAACACAGGTAACATGGAGAGTACACCTGACCTCGCGCTGTATTTAAATGCATCCCACAAACATTTTCACACCACCTGTGGTACTGTGAGTACTACCCAGGCACCGAATGATCATAGAGATACCGTGAAATAAGTGCCTCTCACAATGAAAAAGTTTGTTAAATTTCTCACTCGGTGTCGGCTATATTTTGAACAGGCATTTGCACAATCAGCGATTTCATTCTTCTTATATTTTGTGCTTGCATCTTCATCTTTGACTCAATAAACTCATTCTCCCTGCCATGTATGTCTCAAAAGGCCCTTTAATTTGATACATCGGTCCGAGTGTGTAGTTGGACGGTAAGTGATAGATGGAATGTAAACAAAGGCCCTCAAAAGCCACGCCTCTTGAACATCTGCTTGAAGTGTCACCAGTTAACGTAACACCAGTTAAATCGACACACGGCATGTCAGACTTCACTTCTCCAATACACAATTCTCAAGTTTAAATATTTCCACAAGCTCAAGTTAGAAAACACCATAAACTCAAGTTCAAAAACACCACAAACTCAAGTTAAAACACGACGCAAACTCAAGTTCACCAAAAACCACAAACTCAAGTTCAACCAATACCCAATTCTCAAGTTTAACAATTTCCACAACCTCAAGTTCAAAAACAACACAAACTCAAGTTCAAAAACACCACAACCTCAAGTTCAAAAAACACCACAAACTGAAGTTCAAACACGACACAAACTCAAGTTCAACAAACACACAAACTCAAGTTCAACCAATACCCAATTCTCAAGTTTAACAATTTCCACAACTTCAAGTTCAAAAACACCACAAACTCGAGTTCAAAAACACCACAAAATCATGTTTAAACACATCACAAATTCAAGTTCAACAAATGCCACAAACTCAAGTTCAACAATTGCCACCAACTAAAGTTCACTAAAAACAACAGACTCAAGTTCAACAATTGCAACAACCTCAAGTTCAGAAACAACAAACTCAAGTTCAAAAAACACACAAACTCAAGTTCAACAAACATGCAAACTCAAGTTCAAAAACACCACAACCTCAAGCTCAAAAACGACACAAATTCAAGTTCAACAAAAACCACAAACTCAAGTTCAACCAACACCTGATTCTCAAGTTTTTACAAATTCCACAACCTCAAGTTCAAAAACAACACAAACTCAAGTACAAAAAAACATAAACTCAAGTTCAAACAAAGCACAAATTCAAGTTCAACAAAAACCACAAACGCAAGTTCAACCAACACCTGATTCTTAAGTTTTAACAATTTTCACAACCTTAAGTTCAAAAACCACCACAAACTCAAGTTCAAACACGCCACAATCTCAAGTTCAAACACGCCACAAACTCAAGTTCAAAAAACACACAAACTCAAGTTCAAAAATACCACAGCCTCAAGTTCAAACACGACACAAGCTGGAGTTCAAAAAACACCACAAACTCAAGTTCAACAAATGGCAAAGTTTTAAGTTCAACCACCACCCAATCCTCAAGTTTAACAATTTTCACAAACTGAAGTTCAAAAAACCACAACCTCAATTTAAAAAAAACACAAACTCAAGTTCAAACACACCAAAAACTCAAGTTCAACAAACACAAAAACTCAAGTTCAACAAACACCACAACCTCGAGATCAAACACGAAACAAACTCAAGTTCAACAAAAAACACAAACTGAAGTTCAACAAATGTCAAACTTTTAAGTTCAACCAACAGCCAAATCTCAATTTTAGAAATTGCCACAACCTCAAGTTCAAAAATAACACAAACTCAAGTTCAAACACATCACAAACTCAAGTTCAACAAACGCCAGAAACTCATGTTCAACAATTGCAACCAACTAAAGTTCACTAAAAACCACAGACTCAAGTTCAACAATTGCCAAAACCTCAAGTTCAGAAACAACAAACTCAAGTTAAAAAAACACACGAACTCAAGTTAAACAAACAAGCAACCTCAAGTTCAAAAACACCACAACCTCAAGATCAAACACGAAACAAACTCAAGTTCAATCAAAAACCAAATCTCAAGTTTAACAATTTCCTCAACCTCAAGTTCAAACACGCCACAAACTCAAGTTCAAAAACACCACAACCTCAAGCTCAAAAAACACCACAAACTGAAGTTCAAACACTACACAAACTCAAGTTCAAAAACAACACAAACTCAAGTTTGACCAATACCCAATTCTTAGGTTTAACAATTTCCATTACCTCAAGTTCAAAAACACCAAAAACTCAAGTTCAAAAACACCACAAACTCAAATTAAAACATGACACAAACTCAAGTTCAACAAACACCACAAACTCAAGTTCAAACATGACACAAACTCAAGTTCAACAAAAACCACAAACTCAAATTCAACATATGTCAAAGTTTTAAGTTCAACCAACACCCAAATCTTAAGTTTAGAAATTGCCACAACCTCAAGTTCAAAAACAACACAAACTCAAGTTCAACAAATGTCAAACTTTTAAGTTCAACCAACACCCAAATCTCAAGTTTAACAATTTCCACAATCTCAAGTTCAAAAACAACAAACTCAAGTTCAAAAACACCACAAACTCAGGATCAACAAACACACAAACTCAAGTTCAAATACACCACAAACTGAAGTTCAACCACGACAAAAACTCAAGTTCAACAAACACACAAACTCAAGTTCAACCAACACCTGATTCTGAAGTTTAACAATTTCCACAACCTCAAGTTCAAAAACAACAGAAACCCAAGTTGAACCAACACCCGATTCTCAAGTTTAACAATTTCCACAAACCTCAAGTTCAAAAACACCACAAACTCAATTTAAAACATGACACAAACTTAAGTTAAACAAACACCACAAACTCAAGTTCAAAAACACCACAAACTCAAGTTCAAAAACGACACAAACTAAAGTTCAACAAACAGCACAGACTCAAGTTCAACAAACCTCAAAGTTGAAGTTCAACCAACACCCGAATCTCAATTTAACAATTGCAACAACCTCAAGTTCAAACACGCCAAAAACTCAAGTTCAAAAACACCACAACCTCAAGTTCAAAAACACCACAAACTCAAGTTCAACAAATGTCAAAATTTTAAGTTTAACCAAGACCCAAATCTCAAGTTTCACAATTGCAACAACCTCAAGTTCAAAAACACCACAAACTCAAGTTCAAACACGGAACAAACTCAAGTTTAACGAACACCAAAAACTCAAGTTCAACATACGTAAAAGATTTTAAGTTCAACCAACCAAGTTCAAACACACCACAAACTCAAGTTCAACAAACACACAAACTCAAGTTCAAACACGCCACAATCTCAAGTTCAAACACGCCACAAACTCAAGTTCAAAAAACACACAAACTCAAGTTCAAAAATACCACAGCCTCAAGTTCAAACACGACACAAGCTGGAGTTCAACAAACACCACAAACTAAAGTTCAACAAATGGCAAAGTTTTAAGTTCAACCACCACCCAATCCTCAGGTTTAACAATTTTCACAAACTGAAGTTCAAAAAACCACAACCTCAAGTTAAAAAAAACACAAACTCAAGTCCAAACACGCCAAAAACTGAAGTTGAATAAACAAAAAACTCGAGTTCAAAAACACCACAACCTCAAGTTCAAACACGACACAATATCAAGTTCAACAAAAACCACAAACTCAAGTTCAACAAATGTCAAATTTTTAAGTTCAACCAACACCCAAATCTCAAGTTTAACAATTTCCACAATCTCAAGTTCAAAAAAACAAACTCAAGTTCAAAAACACCACAAACTCAAGATCAACAAACAAACAAACTCAAGTTCAAAAACACCACAAACTCAAGTTCAAACACGAAACAAACTCAAGTTTGACGAACACCAAAAACTCAAGTTCAACATATGTAAAAAAATTTAAGTTCAACCAACCAAGTTCAAACACACCACAAACTAAAGTTCAACAAACACACAAACTCAAGTTCAACCAACACCCAATCCTCAAGTTTAACAATTTCCAAAAACTGAAGTTCAAAAAACCACAACCTCAAGTTAAAAAAACCACAAACTCAAGTTCAAACACGCCAAAAACTGAAGTTGAATAAACAAAAAAACTCAAGTTCAAAAACACCACAACCTCAAGTTCAAACACGACACAATATCAAGTTCAACAAAAACCACAACCTCAAGCTCAAAAAACACCACAAACTGAAGTTCAAACACTACACAAACTCAAGTTGAACCAATACCCAATTCTGAGGTTTAACAATTTCCATAACCTCAAGTTCAAAAACACCACAAACTCAAGTTCAACTAATACCCAATTCTTAGGTTTCACAATTTCCATAACCTCAAGTTCAATAACACCACAAACTCAAGTTCAAAAAGACCACAAACTCAAGTTCAAACATGTGGGGGAAAAATAACAGATATGTTTTGGATGTTTGGAGGTTACTTGAGGCAAGAAAGCAGGATATGGTTGGAGAGGTCAGATTGGGATAAACTTCATCAAACTCAAGTTCATAAAAACTGCACAAACTCATGTTCAACAATTGCAACCAACTAAAGTTCACTAAAAACCACAGACTCAAGTTCAACAATTGCCACAACCTCAAGTTCAGAAACATTAAACTCAGGTTCAAAAAACACACAAACTCAAGTTAAACAAACAAGCAACTTCAAGTTCAAAAACACCACAACCTTTAAGTTCAAACAAGACACAAACTCAAGTTCAACAAATGTCAAACTTTTAAGTTCAACCAACACCCAAATCTCAAGTTTAACAATTTCCACAATCTCAAGTTCAAAAAAACAAACTCAAGTTCAAAAACACCACAAACTCAAGATCAACAAACACACAAACTCAAGTTCAAAAACACCACAAACTGAAGTTCAACCACGACAAAAACTCAAGTTCAACAAACACACAAACTCAAGTTCAACCAACACCTGATTCTGAAGTTTAACAATTTCCACAACCTCAAGTTCAAAAACAACAGAAACCCAAGTTGAACCAACACCCGATTCTCAAGTTTAACAATTTCCACAACCTCAAGTTAAAAAAAACACCACAACCTCTAGTTAAAACACGACACAAACTTAAGTTAAACAAACACCACAAACTCAAGTTCAAAAACACCACAAACTCGAGTTCAAAAACGACACAAACCAAAGTTCAACAAACAGCACAGACTCAAGTTCAACAAACCTCAAAGTTGAAGTTCAACCAACACCCGAATCTCAATTTAACAATTGCAACAACCTCAAGTTCAAACACGCCAAAAACTCAAGTTCAAAAACACCACAACCTCAAGTTCAAAAACACCACAAACTCAAGTTCAACAAATGTCAAAATTTTAAGTTTAACCAAGACCCAAATCTCAAGTTTCACAATTGCAACAACCTCAAGTTCAAAAACACCACAAACTCAAGTTCAAACACGGAACAAACTCAAGTTTAACGAACACCAAAAACTCAAGTTCAACATACGTAAAAGATTTTAAGTTCAACCAACCAAGTTCAAACACACCACAAACTCAAGTTCAAAAAACACACAAACTCAAGTTCAAACACGCCACAATCTCAAGTTCAAACACGCCACAAACTCAAGTTCAAAAAACACACAAACTCAAGTTCAAAAATACCACAGCCTCAAGTTCAAACACGACACAAGCTGGAGTTCAACAAACACCACAAACTAAAGTTCAACAAATGGCAAAGTTTTAAGTTCAACCACCACCCAATCCTCAGGTTTAACAATTTTCACAAACTGAAGTTCAAAAAACCACAACCTCAAGTTAAAAAAAAACACAAACTCAAGTCCAAACACGCCAAAAACTGAAGTTGAATAAACAAAAAACTCGAGTTCAAAAACACCACAACCTCAAGTTCAAACACGACACAATATCAAGTTCAACAAAAACCACAAACTCAAGTTCAACAAATGTCAAATTTTTAAGTTCAACCAACACCCAAATCTCAAGTTTAACAATTTCCACAATCTCAAGTTCAAAAAAACAAACTCAAGTTCAAAAACACCACAAACTCAAGATCAACAAACAAACAAACTCAAGTTCAAAAACACCACAAACTCAAGTTCAAACACGAAACAAACTCAAGTTTGACGAACACCAAAAACTCAAGTTCAACATATGTAAAAAAATTTAAGTTCAACCAACCAAGTTCAAACACACCACAAACTAAAGTTCAACAAACACACAAACTCAAGTTCAACCAACACCCAATCCTCAAGTTTAACAATTTCCAAAAACTGAAGTTCAAAAAACCACAACCTCAAGTTAAAAAAACCACAAACTCAAGTTCAAACACGCCAAAAACTGAAGTTGAATAAACAAAAAAAACTCAAGTTCAAAAACACCACAACCTCAAGTTCAAACACGACACAATATCAAGTTCAACAAAAACCACAACCTCAAGCTCAAAAAACACCACAAACTGAAGTTCAAACACTACACAAACTCAAGTTGAACCAATACCCAATTCTGAGGTTTAACAATTTCCATAACCTCAAGTTCAAAAACACCACAAACTCAAGTTCAACTAATACCCAATTCTTAGGTTTCACAATTTCCATAACCTCAAGTTCAATAACACCACAAACTCAAGTTCAAAAAGACCACAAACTCAAGTTCAAACATGTGGGGGAAAAATAACAGATATGTTTTGGATGTTTTGGAGGTTACTATGAGGCAAGAAAGCAGGATATGGTTGGAGAGGTCAGATTGGGATAAACTTCATCAAACTCAAGTTCATAAAAACTGCACAAACTCATGTTCAACAATTGCAACCAACTAAAGTTCACTAAAAACCACAGACTCAAGTTCAACAATTGCCACAACCTCAAGTTCAGAAACATTAAACTCAGGTTCAAAAAACACACAAACTCAAGTTAAACAAACAAGCAACTTCAAGTTCAAAAACACCACAACCTTTAAGTTCAAACAAGACACAAACTCAAGTTCAACAAATGTCAAACTTTTAAGTTCAACCAACACCCAAATCTCAAGTTTAACAATTTCCACAATCTCAAGTTCAAAAAAACAAACTCAAGTTCAAAAACACCACAAACTCAAGATCAACAAACACACAAACTCAAGTTCAAAAACACCACAAACTGAAGTTCAACCACGACAAAAACTCAAGTTCAACAAACACACAAACTCAAGTTCAACCAACACCTGATTCTGAAGTTTAACAATTTCCACAACCTCAAGTTCAAAAACAACAGAAACCCAAGTTGAACCAACACCCGATTCTCAAGTTTAACAATTTCCACAACCTCAAGTTAAAAAAAACACCACAACCTCTAGTTAAAACACGACACAAACTTAAGTTAAACAAACACCACAAACTCAAGTTCAAAAACACCACAAACTCGAGTTCAAAAACGACACAAACCAAAGTTCAACAAACAGCACAGACTCAAGTTCAACAAACCTCAAAGTTGAAGTTCAACCAACACCCGAATCTCAATTTAACAATTGCAACAACCTCAAGTTCAAACACGCCAAAAACTCAAGTTCAAAAACACCACAACCTCAAGTTCAAAAACACCACAAACTCAAGTTCAACAAATGTCAAAATTTTAAGTTTAACCAAGACCCAAATCTCAAGTTTCACAATTGCAACAACCTCAAGTTCAAAAACACCACAAACTCAAGTTCAAACACGGAACAAACTCAAGTTTAACGAACACCAAAAACTCAAGTTCAACATACGTAAAAGATTTTAAGTTCAACCAACCAAGTTCAAACACACCACAAACTCAAGTTCAAAAAACACACAAACTCAAGTTCAAACACGCCACAATCTCAAGTTCAAACACGCCACAAACTCAAGTTCAAAAAACACACAAACTCAAGTTCAAAAATACCACAGCCTCAAGTTCAAACACGACACAAGCTGGAGTTCAACAAACACCACAAACTAAAGTTCAACAAATGGCAAAGTTTTAAGTTCAACCACCACCCAATCCTCAGGTTTAACAATTTTCACAAACTGAAGTTCAAAAAACCACAACCTCAAGTTAAAAAAAAACACAAACTCAAGTCCAAACACGCCAAAAACTGAAGTTGAATAAACAAAAAACTCGAGTTCAAAAACACCACAACCTCAAGTTCAAACACGACACAATATCAAGTTCAACAAAAACCACAAACTCAAGTTCAACAAATGTCAAATTTTTAAGTTCAACCAACACCCAAATCTCAAGTTTAACAATTTCCACAATCTCAAGTTCAAAAAAACAAACTCAAGTTCAAAAACACCACAAACTCAAGATCAACAAACAAACAAACTCAAGTTCAAAAACACCACAAACTCAAGTTCAAACACGAAACAAACTCAAGTTTGACGAACACCAAAAACTCAAGTTCAACATATGTAAAAAAATTTAAGTTCAACCAACCAAGTTCAAACACACCACAAACTAAAGTTCAACAAACACACAAACTCAAGTTCAACCAACACCCAATCCTCAAGTTTAACAATTTCCAAAAACTGAAGTTCAAAAAACCACAACCTCAAGTTAAAAAAACCACAAACTCAAGTTCAAACACGCCAAAAACTGAAGTTGAATAAACAAAAAAACTCAAGTTCAAAAACACCACAACCTCAAGTTCAAACACGACACAATATCAAGTTCAACAAAAACCACAACCTCAAGCTCAAAAAACACCACAAACTGAAGTTCAAACACTACACAAACTCAAGTTGAACCAATACCCAATTCTGAGGTTTAACAATTTCCATAACCTCAAGTTCAAAAACACCACAAACTCAAGTTCAACTAATACCCAATTCTTAGGTTTCACAATTTCCATAACCTCAAGTTCAATAACACCACAAACTCAAGTTCAAAAAGACCACAAACTCAAGTTCAAACATGTGGGGGAAAAATAACAGATATGTTTTGGATGTTTTGGAGGTTACTATGAGGCAAGAAAGCAGGATATGGTTGGAGAGGTCAGATTGGGATAAACTTCATCAGGTCATGGTGAACTGTATTACAATAAAAGGAAATTTGGCAGAGGAAGATGGATACGGATGTGCGTCAGAGATATTGGCAGGAAAAGTCACGTAGGGAACTTTCCCACGGGAAAGTGACCTTCATACAGTGACCTCGCACACACATTTGGCAAAAGTTGAGATCAGTGTCGTCATTGGATTACTATAAGAGATCTGTGGTTTTTCTGTTCTGGGGTCTGTCTGTTCGACTGTTCATGAGCTGTGTTTGATGCTGTGACCAGAATAAAATCCCGCGAGAGGCTGCCAGCTTGATTCTGTCTTCGTGTAGTTCATTCCTGCATTTTTGCACCGAGGTCATCTTCTAAATAATTGGCGAGCTACAGCCAAGATTTTGCCGAGGCCTGGGGCGGTGGCCTCCCCGCGCGAGTGAAATCCACGTGCCGGCACACAAAAGGTAGGAGAAGTTTATTTCTCTATTAGATGTGTGATTTCACTGTGTGGTGAGGCCATCGTGTGTTTGGGCCCTCGCAAAGGAAAGAGCCTAGAATCAAAGGAAGCAGAGTCAGGCGGAGTCTCTCACGTGTTATTCATGTATACATGAAGGCTGCTCCAAAGTGTGTGGAAAATTGTGAGACAGACAAATTAACTATTGGCGTCAAAGCAGCTGGGAATCTTGGCCAAGTGTCTGTTGACTGTGTCTTATGGGGATAGTAGGAGTAAAGCGAACAGGCCCCGAGATTAAGGCTTAGGGAGGCAGAGTGGATTCGCTCCAGACCCCGAGCAACAGGCTTATGGGGGTAGTTAAGGCATAAATGCGAAAAGGTCTCGAGCTTAATGCTTAGGGGGGCAGAGGAGTATCGCTAACAGATCCCGAGAACAGTGATCAGCAGAGCAGATCTGTTGTTGTGGGTGAACAAGATGCCAGGACTTTCAGTTCTAGGGGTATAGAGTTCACGGGCGCGCGAGTTGAGAAGCCGGCAGCCAAGCCCTGGCAGATGTGTAAAAAAGATTAACCCGATGAGGTTGGACAGACCTCAGAGATACTGCTCTGCGGAGCCCGGGGAGGTCTGAAAAGGCGAGGAACCTGGACAGACCACCCCATGTTAAGTTCTGTAATCTGGGGCTGACCTTTTACTGAGCTCGAAAGGCAGAAACCCTGCAGGTTGCAGACTTATCTAATATAAATAACGTGGAGAAATCCACTAGGAATTATGGAACAGATTTAGATGTGGTTGACTGGACTGTACACGAAAGTTCAATCACACTTGCTGGGAAATCCCTCTAAAAATCTGGTCTGTCGCTAATTATGGGCACATTTTAACGTATATCCACAAAAACTTATAGATGAAACGAACGCATTTCTCATAATAAGTAATGGGAAATAAAGAAAAACAAACAAAAAACTGCAATCTGAGGACAGAGGTTAATCATACGGAACATTGGACATTGGAGGTATTGAAAATTTATAAGGTAGGAGTTGTTTGATCCACAATTTCCTTCCAAATTGACACCACGAAAAGCACGGATGATCAACGTGTTATCTCTATGAGTCAGCCAACTAAATAGAATACCTTCAAAAATCACCAAAAAGACTAAACAAAAGTATATTTGATGAATAAAATAGAAACACCCCAAAAGTGTGTGTGTGAGGACCGGTCCGTGTGAGCGTGATCACTCTTTTCCTTTCTCTCCCTCTCCTCGCACTCCGCTGTTAAGTGTGTGGCTTAGGGTGTGTGTGTGTTGTGTGTGTGCATGGTGGAGAAAGCCCATAACACATTGAGATATATGTTTGATTGCAAATACATTGACATGCATATATCCTGCATTGCACAAGCTGAACATAATCGGCTGCAAACTAATATGTAAATAATGGAAAATGTTTAACAAGGTGGTT